AGATGGAGGCGTAGGTGGAAGTACTGCGTCTTCTAACACAACTAAGTTTGAAAACAACAAAGTTTTAGTAACAAAAACGCAGCCAAAACACAGAAAATTGAACTACACAGAAGTCTGACAACAATGAACCCTTCAGCCAAACCAGTAAGAGGGGCAGAGTTAGCAGCAGAGCGGGGTCAGGCAGGAAAGACCCACTGGACCGACCTGGGCGCGCGACCTGGGCGCGCAACCCAGGTGCACCAGCAGCCGTTGGTAGATCCCAGGTATGGAGAAGTGGGCGGACCCACTGAGGGCGGAAGGCGGTGGACTCACTGAGGGCTGACCACAGTCTATCGCGCAGATAAACCGGTGAAGGAGCAAGCAGTGAGACGGACCTCACAGGCCCCAGCGGCAGGAAGCCACAGAGGGAGCCGCCATTGTCCATCTCTGACCCCGCCCCCACATAAGCGTCACAAACCAGCGACATGGATGGCCCCTCTCTGACCACGCCCCCACATATGCGTCACAAACCAGCGACCTGGGTGGCCCCGCCCTGGTGAACACCTAAGGCTCTGCTCTTCATATGTAACAGGCATGAACAGATCAAAACATGGCTCAAGAACAACTCAGAGCCCCAGAGCCGATAAATCTAAGCGAGGAAGAAATAGCCAAACTTTCAGATGCACAGTTCAAAACACTGGTGATCAGGATGCTCACAGAACTGATTGATTTTAGTCACAAATTAGAGGAACATATGAAGGCTAAACTAATTGAAATAAATGGTAATGCACAGGAAACCAATAGTAATGGAAAGAAAACTGGGACTCAAATCAAAGGAGTGGACCAGAAAGAGGAAAAAAAATGACCAAACAGAAAAGGATGAAGAAACAAGAATTCAATAAAATGAGGAGAGGCTTAGGAACCTTAGGACATCTTTAAATGTTGCAACATCTGAATTATAGGGGTACCAGAAGGGGAAGAGGAAGAGGAACAAGTGGAAAAGTTACTTGAACAAATAATAAAGGAGAACTTCCCCAATTTGGCAAAGGAAATAGACTTCCAGGAAATCCAGGAAGTTCAGAGAGTCCCAAAGAAGTGGGACCCAAGAAGGAATGCACCAAGGCACATCATCATTACATTAGCCAAGATTCAAATGAAGGAGAGAATCCTAGAAGCAGCAAGAGATAAGGGGACAGTCACCTATAAAGGACTTCCCATCAAACTGTCAGCTGATTTCTCAAAATAGACCTTACAGGCAAGAAGGGGCTGGAAAGAAGTATTCCAAGTCATGAAATTCAAAGACCTACATCCAAGATTGATCTATCCAGCAAAGCTTTCATTCAGAATGGAAGGGCAGATAAAGTGCTTCTCAGATAAGATCAAATTCAAGGAGTTCATCATCACCAAGCCCTTATTATATAAAATGTTAAATTGACTTACCTAAGAAAAAGAAGATAAAAAAGATGAACAGTGAAAGGACAGCAAACTCACAGTTATTAACAACCACACCTAAAACAAAAGCAAACTAAGAGGACAGCTAGATCAGGAACAGAACCATAGAAATGAAGATCACATGGAGAGTTAGCAACAGGGAAGTGGGAGAAGGAGAAGGGAGGAGAAGGTACAGAAAATAAGTAGCATAGATGGTAGGTAGAAAATAGATGGGGGGGCAAGAATAGTACTCGAAATATAGAATCTAAAGAATTTGAGACACGTGGTCATAAACTAAAAGGGGGAAATGGTGGGGGAGGGGGTGTGCAGGATGGAGGGGAATGAAGGGGGGAATAGAACAACTGTAATGGCATAATTAATAAAATACATATTTTTTAAAAAAGAAAGCTCAGGGTCTTTACCTCTGAGTAATACCAGAGAAAATAACATTGGATTTCATTTAGAATCCGTCAACTCTTAGACTGTACATAGTTCTAACATTATTAGGTATCTGTGAAATCTCACGGTAGACTGGAAGTCGTGGTTTAGGGAGGGATTAGACTTTTGCTTCTCACCCTCTGTTTCAAAAGGTATACTGAGGAAGTATACCATTTAGAAAGATTTATGCCCAAAGTAATTAAGAGGAAATATCTTAGGCACTCCATCTGGACAATGTAATTATTCAAAACAACTCCTCATGGGCTCAGAATAACTGACCTTTTTTTTCATTCCATTTAGTTCATTTTGGCCTCTGAATTCTGTGGGACAGTTTTATCTCATTTGAGTAGGATGACACTATCCAAAGCCAAGGCCTTCATTCGATCTCAGCTTCTGGGAGCAAAATTTAACGCCTGCACTATACACAGCTATGAAGTAACCACCTAGCAACACCCAGCATTATTGAGCATCGACTGTGTGCCTAGAAGTTTCCCGGTATGATGACCAATAACCTTAGCTGGAAAGAAATAGCTAATTCCATTTCATAGATATAAAACTGAGGGTTATCAGTAAAGGAAATTGCTGAAGTTTGCTTAGGGCTCACGTCCAGGCGTTCTGGCCGTGAAGCCAGCCTTCTTCCCATGGCTCTCTCTCCTCCTGGCTGATGAGAGTAGGTTTCCAAATCCTGGTGGGGCCTGGAGGTTAACTCCCACATAAGGAGGGCTGCTGGCTAGCTTGTTTGGTTCTCTGGTTAGCTCAAGCAGCCACAGGGATGAGGATTGAGTCCACTGGACCTATCGCTTGTCTTGACCTCCCACTGTCCATTGCTTAGCTATCTACTTCTGAGATAAAGAAATCCGGACTCTCAGGTAGCTAGCACAGCGTGGAGTTTCTCTCCACTCCTGCAAAAATAATTCAGACCGTAGCAGGAGGCTATGGGGGATGGTGAATGCCAGGCATGAAGAAGACGTTTTATTTCAATGGAGAGGGCACAACAAAATGTAGACACTTGTCTTTTTTCATGAAGGATACCCTTTCTCTACTTATTAGATTTGCATCTCATTTCCAAGACAAAATTTGACTTTTCTACCCATCTGTGTTTACTGTCCCTAGAGCCATGGAACTGGGGGCAGTCAGCAGGTGACCAGTGGAGGGGGTGGGGGTGTTTGAAACTGCTGCTCATAAATGATTGCTGGCTGTGGGGGAGTGTAGGGACAGATAAACAGAAAAGGAAGAGGGACAGGGTTGCAAGGTTCACTTCCTGTGCAAACAGCCCAGCTAGGAGCACAGAGTCCACAGCACTGCCTCCTCCCACAATTGAAATGGGACCTGCAAGGGACATTGCGAGGGTCCTCTTCTCTGGCAACACAGTGCTGACTTCCTGACGCAGTCAGTCACCTGGGAGCCTCATAAGGAGGTTGAGGGGTTGTTCCGTGTCACCCTATGACTGTAGGGACACAGAAGAGACAGATTCCGATGCACACTGCCTCGCCCAGCGTCCTGACAAACTGGCCCTTTAAGGTGCCTGGAATGTCATAGCTAATGCTTCATTGGTTCTCCTTCAGCCAAAGAGCGAGCGCCGGGAAGGGCAGGTCATTGCCCTCCTGCCAGCCAGTCACCCCTTGGCAGAGATGGGTTTGCACAGACAATAGTTAAAGGACATCTATACACCATCAGCTACATGTCAAATGTTTGAACACCAGAAAAAAATTGATTGTGATATAATTGACATGTAACATCATTTGGACACATTTTGATCCAAGAATCACCCTTTCCATCATAGCCAGTATTTTATCAAGAGCTTTTCTTATGCTAGGCATTGTTCTAAGATTCCCCAATGACAAGCCTGTCTACAGAGGGCCTGATTATATTATTATTTTCATTTCACAGATGAGAAAGGAGATGCACAGAGAGGTTAAGTCACTTCCCCAAAGTCACACAGTTAGTGTCTGAGCCATGATTTGTGCCAGGCAGTCCAGTTTCTGACCTGCATTGGAAACCACTCTCCTACTCACTCAGTTACTCTCTTCAAAGGCGTGATGGTTGGAACACATGGGAGAAAGAAGATTTGTGAATTACAGAAGGTCTAAAGTTATTTTTAAGTGTTACTATGCTAACATCTATTACAACATGGATACGATTTTCTTATATCAGTTCCTAACAGAACTCTACTCTGTTCATTATGAACACCAGTATAATGGAAGTAATTAGAACAATGTCAACAGTAGGTACCTACTATCCTGTGGCTGCTGTGGTCCCTTTTATCTCATCCTCATGATCTTCACTGTCACTGTCCTCATCATCATCATCATCATCATCATTGTCATCATTTACTGAGGGCTTTCCAGGTTCCAGGAACCATGTTTACTTAGTATAACACCTAAACAACCTCATTTAATCCTCAGAGCAATACTATGGAGTAGGTATAACCATTCCCACTTTATAGACAAGAAAACTGAGGCCCAGGATGCTAAGGTCATTTAGCCAGAAGTGATACAGCTGGAATTTGAACCTAAGTCTGTCTTCAAAGCCTATGTCTGTAAGCACTTCACTATGTCCAACATTTTAATAGTACTTATTAATTGTCATCTGTGCACCAGGCCAGTCCTATGACACTATTTCAAACTATGGTGATGGGCCAAACCCAGCCAACTCCATTTTCTTTGCAAATAAAGTTTTATTGGGGTACAGCAGTGTTCATTTGCTTACATATGTATTGCCTTTAGTTGCTTTTGTTCTAAAAGGTAGAGTTTAGTAACTGTCATAGAGATCACATGACCCACAAAGCCACGCATATTTCCTTTCTGGCTTTCAGCAGAAAAGTTTGCAGACCCTTGCCTTAAAAAGCATCTAGCAATATATGTATGGTTGTTCTCATTTTGGAGGTGAACACATCGAAATTCAGAGAGATCGGGTAATTTGCCCATCTGGCTATTAAAGAAAGAGAACCCAGCAAAAAACAACTGAGGTCTAGCTGATGCCAGAACTTTCTCATGTTCCTCTCTGAAACTCAAAAGGACAGCAATTTCATTTTCGAGGACTGCAGGAACTTTCTCTGACACGTGGCCAGTGAGATGGTTTCAAACGTTTGATGCTGGTGTTACAGAGTTGCACATTTTTCCCTTGTCAGAGGGACAGGAAGTTCCTCTTACCTTCTGAGAATTTGCTGTATTTAATTCCTTGAGGGTGGATGCTCAAGGGCTTGTCTGCCTTGTTTTTGAAGTGGACTTTCATGATGTCTCCAACTTCAGCATATAAAGTAGGCCCGAGGAGTCCTGTGGAAGCAAGGATACACACATCAGGATGACCAGAGACAGAGCTGCTAAACACACACACACACACATGCACATGCACACGCACCATGCAGAAAATCCCGAGTGATAGCTGCCACTTCTCCGGGTTCTGAGGGCGACCCACTTGCCTTCCATGTAGACGGCTGTGCCAGCTCATGAACTTGACATTACATGCAGTCAGGTAAGGATGGGAAGGCAGCGACACCTGGCCTGGCTCAAAGTCAGTCAAGAGATGAGGAGCAGTCGCTCTGACCATGCCCACCCCCTTGTGACCCCCCTGTCGTTCCTCACAGATGAACTCTGGTCACCAAAATAAAGATGTTCATTTTCAGTGTTCCAGGGTGATGTGAAGAGAATGCTTTCACAGAGGCAGACCCAATGCTCTCATGCATAAAGGTGAACACTGTCAGCCAGGCGCCCAAACAGCTCTCCTACCCTCTCCTTCACCCAGAGACAGCCTGGCGGGGGTGGCCTGTCTTGGGTGCCCAGGAAGGTAGCTCAGCAGGCACCCGGTTCAAGCAGCTTTGGCTTGGAAAGGACCACGGTGAGTCCGCTAATCTACCCCTCTCCACGCAGGCGAAGAAGGTGCTGCGGAACACAAGGCAGCCCATTGCTACAGCGCTTTTAGAGCCTTTCAGAGACAAAACATGTCATAATTTTTCTTGAAAAAATGCAAAGACTTGAGCTAGCCATTTGAAAGCCCAAGACAGGATTTCTGAAAATGAGCCTCGCCCGGCCACCTGTCCAGGGCAGGCATCTGTCTTCAGACCTCTGGGCCTGCAGCCTAGCACCAAAACCCCCCAATGCCACGTCCACTGCCGCGTCTACTGTTGGATCCCTCTCTCCGTGACAAGGTCCTGAGAGGGGGTGTAAGACTTCAAGGAAGCAGTTTCCAACCTGGTGGACATGGCATGGAAGGCCTTGCAATACCTATTGTGATTGTGCTTGCTTTAGAGATCATGACCTTTTTGCTTTAATCATTATGAATACCCTGGCAGTGATTCAGATAGTGTGCCTGGACCTTTCCCGGCTCAATAAACAGAATAATAATATCATACTAGAACGTCAGGGAATATAGGCATAAGGAAACAATCAGAACAATCTGAGAATTCAAGCTTAATCAATAACAATCATTAGAAAAACACCCAAGATAAGATAGAATACTCTAGGAAATCATGAGATGATCTCACTACTTTCTTAGAAGGAATCAAAGTACAAAACATGTCTATAAAAGAACTCCTAGAGAAACTTAAAAGAAGTACCCTTAAAAGCCCCCTGCTACATAGGAATAGCCCCTCCTTTACCTTGAATAAGAATATATATCAACTAGACAGGCAAAGTAATAACAAAGGCTAGTTAGTTATTACAAACTAAACAGTCACTAGGGAGTCAGAATTTATAGTACACAGAAAAAACATTTTAAGCAAAAAAAAAGGTAGATAGCTAAGTTAGACATCACAAGGGCTTTATAATAAATCTCCTATTTTCTCTACTCAGTGTAGCGTATCCTTATGCCCTATACCAAATTCTGAGAAACTTTAATATACAATAAGATATTTTTAACTGTCTGATTAATAGCTCTCCTAGTTAAAATAATCTTTAACTAAATCTATGGGAACTTTCGTACTTTTACTGATTACCTTTGTATTGATTTTTTCTGCTTAAATGATCATGTTATACTGCAAATATTAATCACTACCTGAAATGAAAATATAAAAACCTGCTTGTACTTGCAATAAACGGAACAGAGCTTCACTGTCCTTTGAGGCGTGTTGTCGTCTGTTACCCAGTGCTGACGCCTTGCCCTCACCTGTGGGACCCCCTGACCCGCTGCGGCTGGACCGCGGCACCCCAACTTACAGTAAGCTCTGGACTCATGCTGCAGAGGGGGGCCCGTGACTGCTCCTGTTCGGGCTCGGCCAGAATCACAACCACCAGCCGAGTGGGGCATGAGGGAGGGGTAAGTACCAATGACACAGAACTAGGCTGGGGACAGGGACAGTGTGCAAAGCCAGAGCTTCTCCCTCATCATCTGAGGCTTTGTCTTTGCACCAGATTTGCTTCCTTGTATCAACTCCTACCGGCAAACACAGAGGTGAGTGAGAGATCCCTGACCGCCAGGGCTTTATGGGTAGGTAAGGGCCTTTGGGGGTCGAGGAAGACGCCGCATAAATGGATGCTACAATGCCTCAGGGCTCATATAAAACACATCTGTCCATGAGATACACGGAGTGGACAGGAAGATAATGTTTCCAGTGCACAGGGCTTACACAGAGGTCATCTATCAAGGTCTGCTTCTAATTAGTGAGGGTGCATCAGGAAGTCACTGCAAAAGTTAATCATCTCAAATGAGTCTGAGCACACTACTCTCTTCAAAAACTGTCGATGCCTTCTTATTGCTTAAAGCATCGTCTCCAGCCTCGCACTGGTCCTTCCTGTCACTTACAGAGCTCTCGGCACAATGGCTTACCCAGCAGACATTCGAATTCAGTTAACTTGACATAAGCCACAGAAGGCAGGGATCTCGGTACCTGCCTGGTGCCTCATTCCACAGGCCTTTGGAATATGTTTCCCGGCCCATTTTCCCTTCCCCTGCCTACAGTTTAAGTTAATTAAGTAGCTCTTAAGTATCAGTTCTGTGTCCTGGGGCTGGAGCCAGGGCTACAAAAAGGAACAGATTCTGTGACAGAGGACAGGAGATCCTTTCAAACACTTCCTACCCACAGTTACAAACTGAATTGTATTAGCAACCTCACAGCCCCTGGTGAAGGCAATATCTCTTCTGCTGCAGGCTGATCTAGCTCAGCTCTCAATCCCATCATTCCCTGTTTCTTCGGAGTTTGGCTCCCTCCGTGAGATAACTTTATCCTCTCCTCTTCCATTGGAATCTTCCCTCAAGAATTTAGGTAATATCTTTAAAAGATCTTCTTTATTTATTTTTAGAGCGAAGGGAAGGGAGGGAGCAGGAGAGGGAGACAAACACAGATGTGTGAGAGATCCGTCAGTTGGTTGCCTCTCTCGCTCCCCCAACTGGGGAACCGGCCCACAAACCAGGCATGTGCCCTGACTAGGAATTGAACCAGTGACTCTTCAGTTCACAGGCTGGCACCAGCCAGGGCACACTTAGATATTTTTAAGTCACTATTCCTTTTATAAAATCCCAAAATAGCCTCAAACCTCTTATTCCCTTCCAGAACGCCCCTATCTCTCCTCCCATTTGGAGTCGAGTTCCAGGAAAGGGTTATCTCCAACTCTCTCCTGCTTCTGCTTCCTTATCTTCCACCCCCGTCTGGGGCTCTGCTTCTGTTCCCCAGCGGAGGCAGCACTAGGGAAACCAGCAAACGAGAGAGCATTCCTGGAAGGGGAGCATTGACTGTCCTAGAAATGTCCAGCCAGAAAAGGCCTGGAAAAAACTTTGGCCCTGGCATCTATGCAGTCACAGACACCCCCTTTAGAGAGAGATTTTAGTGAGCTCCCCTTGGAACAGAGGACTGGGGAGAGGAAATGACACCCTGGAGAAAAAAACCAGACCATTCATACGGAAATCGGAAATCGGTGGTGGAGAAAGGGGAGAAAAAGGAAAGGCAAGCAGAGTCAAGGGGAGTTTTTTCTTTCTAGTTAGAGTTTAACCTGAACATAATTGTGCCTTGTTTTGTCGTTAATGGCTTTTGGCCGAAGGGAAGGCGCCGGTCAAGGAAGGAGTGAAGATAAAGGGAGATCAGAGTTGGGAAAGAATGGGATGAATCAGGAGGGAGAAGAATAAGTCTGGTACGGGTTGCAGGTCTTCACCTGGTGGAGGGACGGGACAGGGGACAGGTTGAGTGAATTATTGACTTGGAGACCCAACCAGAGGACGTTCTCTCTTAATGGCTCCTATGACCCTGTGAAAAAATGGTGCCCTATTTCAGTTCGCCAAACCCATTTACTTACTTTCCTTGACTAAAGAAGAGATGAGGAAAAGAAGAGGTTTCTCTTTAAAAACACTAGCTACCATGTATATTATACTAAATAAAACAGGAGAAGAGAAGGGGGAGATAGGCGCAAGAGAACTGGCCACACACAGTTCCTCTGAATGAGCCCAGGGAGCCAGAGGGCAGCAAAGGATGACCTGCGCTCGTCAAACTGGACCAAGAGTCCCGCAAAGGCAGGGCACCGGCGTCTTGTCTCCCGTGGACTCCGCGGAGTCTAGTTCAATGCCCCACCCTTGGCACGAGCTCAGTATCAGTTTGTTAGACAAGTGAAGAAAAATTCGAACAACTGGGGTTTTTTAGCTTTTTGATCAAGGTTAAAAACAGCTGTTTTCATGGGCATGTGATCTGTGACCTATTAGCCGGTCACGCAGGGCCCCCTGCTCGGCTTACCTGAAGTTCTGGATCGTGGTTTTTCTTTCTGAAAATACGCTTCGTACTCTCTGTAGACAATCTTCTTAAAGGAAGTTGCAGAAGGATTCAAACTGGAAATAAAATAGAAAAATTACTTTGGAAGGTATATAGGACATCTACTTCCCACACTGCAAGGAAAGGGTCTCTCACGTCCTCAGCCTTGTACCAGAACTAATAGCATCTTCAAGTGTATTTAGACCCAAAGTGGTTTAAATATGAAGAATAAGTGAAGTTGATAGAAATAATTATCACACCCTTCAAGAATATTCTGTTGTGGTAATTGTTCTATCATAAATGAAGTCTGCCCTAACTAATCCTGTTATTCGGAATCCATCTTCTAAAGAAGATTCCAAGATCACAGTGGGAACCCAAATTTTTCATTTTTAATTTTAAATGAGTAAAAGTATGATCCAACCTTTTACGTCTAAATAGGTGGGCTATTTCCAGCTGGTCAGTCCAATACAGTGGTGAGTTACTGGGGGACACTGTGAAGAGCTGTCATTGCTTTGGTGGCCCTGTTTCTGGTGGAGAAGCTGGTTATGGTTCTCAGAGTGAAATCCCTGGGATTCATTCTGGGAACAAACAAGCAAGTGGAAAACACAAACTCTTGGAAAGCTTAAGTAACTTGTCCGAGGAGAAGCTGTCGAAGAATGGAAGAGCCAAGACTGGCAGAAGAGAAACTATTGGATTCCCGGTGAAGAAGTCATGGGGGCGGGGGCCGGTGGTGGCAGGGGCGGTGCCCGGACAGCTTCCTCTCACTGTCTTTTGTGTCTCCGAGGACGCAGGAGTCCTGGTCTAGGACCACTCAGAACAAGTTCGGAATTTAAGCAGTCAGACCTACAGGTTAGATTTTTTTTTTCACATGTAAGCACTAGAGAGGAACGACAGGATTTGAGGCTCAAACATATTGAGACTTGGTCTGGGTTAGCATTCTATGGTTTTGAGTCAATAATTGATACCAGAGGAGTGACTCTTCCCAGAATTCTGGAAAGGCAGCCAGGGAGTGAGAGCGCAGGACGCCCAGCAACGGCTCCCTCTGGCTCAACCATGTGACGCGGGCCTTTGCCCTGTGCCACTCTGCCTGCGGTTTTGTGCCTGCTACCATCAGCACCGACCGGGGCGACAGACCAAACCTCCAAGCCTGGGCTCGGAGGCCACAGGCAAGGCAGCCACCCAGGCAGCGTCCTGCCCAGGAGCCGGGGAGACCATCGCGGGGCGGGCCCTTCTCTTCCTTGGGGCTGCAGTTAATGACAATTCCCTAACTGTGGCAGTGGCCTGGATCATCACCTTGAAGTGCAATACTGAACACAATTCCTTTTAAAAAGAGGGGTTTCTTATTATTACAAGACCAAGGGATATATACACAGCCTTCCAAAAACACCCATACCCAGAACACTTTAAAGGGGTTAAGGTTATACCTAAGAGACTCTTAAAATGTTACAATATCTCTCCGCTTTGTAATTGTAAAAGAGGAACACATCTTTCGCAATCATTCAAGGTTGTGATGTTTAGTTAAAAAAAAAATTGAGTCACACCAAGAAGCTTACCATTAAAACAAGTAAAAATATAACCAACTGGAACTATTGAGTGGGTCCTATAATTTGTCTCATTTCTGGGAAGTCTTATTTTTAGCCTTTCAATTAGGGGAAAAAATGTTTGCGACTCCCAGATCGGCTTTTATTATTTAAACCGCCTCTGAGCTGCAGCTTGCAGGCTCCCCAAGCCTCAGGGTAGACCACAGCACGAGGGCTGATTGAGGGCGAACAACGAGTCAGATGAAATAGAAAAGGGCGAAAGAATAAAAACGTTGCATTTTCATGGACTGGCAGTGTTTTGAAAGTCATTTATAAGAACACAGCAAAAATGAGGGCAATTGTTATTGGATGATAATAATAATCTGTTCACGGCGAAGTGCAGGGCGAACGCCTGTCCTCAGTTTTAGAAGATGAAGCTAGGCGGAGAATGGGATAAATAACATATGACTAGACTTTCCATAAGAACATCAGGTCTCTAAAATGCTAGAGCCGGAGGCTACAGGAGGCTAAGCAGGGGGTGGGTGCCTGGTGGTGTTGAATCAATCAATACACTAAACCAACAATCAATCGCACTAACAAAAAAAACTGTGTACCGGCGAACTCTTGCAAGCGGCACCTAGTCTGTCAAACTGGGTATTTCCTACATCCTCAGAGTGATAAACTGCATGATTGGAGGCCGGATGAGCAAAGGGAATGCCGTCTAAAGAAACTGGGGCGTGCTGCCCGGGGGACGCAGCGCCCGCCTTACCTGTTATCTGGAAGCTCAGGGTGGTAGTTCCAGCTGATGCCCTGAGCAGCCACATAGAACTGCCGCAGCCGCGCGGCTTCAGCTCCCGTGCGCCCCCCGCCTGCCCAGCTGGAGCCCAGCACCACCAGGACCCAGAGACGTGGGCAGCCTGGGGACATGGTTCCTTCTCTGCTCCTGCCCTCGGCTACCCCCAGGGCCTGGACAGAGCTCTCCTCCGCCACCGGTGGAGCCGCGTTGCCTCGCGTCCGCTGCAGTGAGCTCTGGGAGGCTGTGGGTGGCAGTATCCTCCCCTGCAGCGCCTCCGTCTGTCTCCGCCTCCGAGGGCCTTTCCAGGCAACGCGGTGGGGAGAGTGGAGGAGGGGGGATACGCTAGGTCACTGCCCTGGGTGACGAGAGGTAAGGGGGAGGGCAACCACTTTAGTGCCTGTTTTACTACGGGTGAAGAAACGGCGGAGCTCAGAAGCTCCAGCAGGTGGGCCCTGCCCAGGGATTCACGCACCAGGGCAAAGCTGTATCCCTGCGCTTCCAGATGCTGCGCCACAGAGCAGCAGCCCCTCACCCGGCCTCGGGGGCAAAGTTCACCCTGGGCAGACCCGCGGTAACTCCCCATGCCAGGGGACCCACACCTTTAACCCCAGCACTCTCCTGCTCTGAGGAAAGGGCCTTGTGTCCTGTTTCCCAGCACAGAAATGTGTCTCCAGGTGGTAAGGGAACCAGGGGACCAGCACTTGGCCAGGACCGCTTCACTGACTTCCGCCTACACACAGTTCTGCCTTGACAAGGTCCTGCCGCCAGGCCAGGGAAGGCGGCCCCAGGGCAAGGGCTTGTCGGAGTGTGGCTGAGAGAGGCAGCAGACCCGGCCTCAGGCCCCCTCGCTAGCTGTGTCCATCCTCCTGGACAAGGTGCTCAGCCTCTTCGGAGCTCGGGTTTGCCATCTGCACTGTGGGGATGATAACAGCACCTTTCCCTGATAGGGTTGGAGGGGGCGGGTAAGAAAATACTGCAAAACGCATCCTTCCGGGCGGCTGGGAAACGCCGAGGACGTGGTCGTTACTAGGATCCTATTTTTCCTGCCTCCGGGTCCCTCCTGTTTCTCGGATGATCTGTTTCAAACTGTCTTAAGATTGTGTTTTGCTGCTGATTGAGAAGCAGAGAAGTGTATTGTCTGAAGCATGAGGATGAGTTATCCCAAGTTCCCCGAATCTACGGGGCCAGCTAAGCCTCGGTCTTAAGGTTTGTCCCCAGTCGTCACCCAGCACCTCATGTGGGGTCACGAGGATGCCAGGCTCCTCAGCAGCTTCGCCCCCTACACACAACCTTCTGCCTTTGCCGACATTATTCTACCAACTTAGAATGCCCGCTCTGTCCACTCTGATTTCTACTATCTCCTTGACCCTGGGCCCATGTGGACTTGTCCATCTCCTGAGCTCCTACAACACTATTCAAATAACAGACTGTGTTGATTGCCCTGTAGTACTTTGGGTGGGTGTCTGGCATCTCTCCGCCAGATTGTAAACTGTTCAGGAGCAGCACACGCCTCTGCGTCTGCAGTATCAGTTTCCTGGGGAGCTTTTGCAAAGTGTGACTTGCACTCTGGAGACGAGGCTAAGGACCACTGTCCTGTGAGACTGACTCTAGTGGTCAGCCGTCGGAGATGCCAGTGCCAGGGTACCAGACCACTGTGTCCCTCAATCCCAAACCCGCTACCAAGTTCTTGCAACATTCGTGTGACCTTGAATTAGACGGTTTCACCATTTTTATTTGCACATTTGCCTGTGTGTCATTCAGTCTGCGTGATGTGTCCACTGCCTCACATTTCACAGAGACCAGAGAGTGGCATTGTTGGCCTCTCTACATGTGATTGGCTCCAGATGACCCCTGGGCGACTTTCAACAACCGATTTATTGAAAATGTGATTTAGCCCTGGCTGGTGTAGCTCAGTGGACTGAGCGTGGGCCTGCAAACCAAAGGATCAAGGTTTGATTCCCAGTCAGGGCACATGCCAGGGTTGCAGGCCAGGTCCCAGCAGGGGATACAGGAGAGGCAACCCCACACTAATGTTTCTCTCCCTCTCTCCTTCCCTTCCCTTCCTCTCTAAAGATAAATAAATAAAATCTTTAAAAAAAAATGTGATTTGAAGAGTGTGTGAAACACGCCCGTTCTTCCCTGGAGAACGTTCCGGTGATGAAGACCCTTGGTGCTTCTCTGGTTTTCTCCTTGTGGAAGGCGGTACGGCACATACTTCCTGACTGGTGAAAGGGTCAAACAGTAAAGGGGGCAGTGGTAGTTCTGAATTACATCGATGTAAACAAAGTGATGGACACAGACCTCATTGAACAAAACATCAAATGATAGAACATGGCATTTGGGGGGAAGCCTGTTCATTACACGTTTGAGTATTGGTCTTTGGGGGAGAGTGACAAGTGGGGGGACCAGCGACAGTGGCCTGTGCCTTCCTGTCTTCATCCTCGGTCTTCTGCAGCATCCCTGGAAGCCTCAGCGGCAGAAGTGTAAGAGGTGTCACCAACAGCCCCTCTGGAGATCCCTGAGACCTACAGACATTTCCTCCGGCCAGAGACACCCTTCCTGACTTCCAAAAAAGGACAGAATGCCTCCCTCCATCCCCCCAAAATAAAGATGCGCTTTCATGTTTCCACAGTGTGGTCTTCTGGTGACTCAGATGCTCCAGCCTTTGGCCAATTAGTATTCCGAGTGACAGCCAGGGCAAAGCCCACAGACCACTGCCCGCCAGCTGGAGGGAGGGGAGAGGTGGAGCGGGAAGGGGGGTGGGTGGAGAGTGTGGGCTCACGGCACAGTCCCCCTGCTCTGGGCCAGAGCTAATCTCAAGGAAATGCCATGTCCTTTGCTCACAAGTATTTACAGAAAACTGCAGCAAACACACTCCAGTTAGTCAAGTATAACAGGAAGCCTGGTGTTCAACCACAGGGGTCTTCTGAGGCCAAGTGACCAGGAGAAGGACGAGTACTTGAAAACAAACCACAATAAATTAAAATAACTACATTTCCTTAAAAAAGAATAAATGAAAGAAAGAAAGAAAGCTCTTATCACATCTGTTCCCTGATGCCCAACATAATCTTTCTGGATTCCAGATTTTCTGCTAGCTAGGCCACTTTTCGTAGGAAACCCCACTTCCCACCGAGCCGTTTGGGAGAGAGAAGGGGCCAGGCTATTTCCGTTTGCCTGGCAGGCAGACACAGGGCATTGGCTCCGGGAAAGTTTGTAAAATTCTCCCAGCGGTCAAGACGTCTGGCTACCAAGCCACTGTGTCCATACCACCCGGGGGGGGGCATGAAAGGGCACGCCATCCATCCTGACATAAGTGACGTCCCGCTAGGCCGTGGCTGCCCCGGAGGAGATGGAAACCCTCACGTGGACCCACTTTCTCTTGTCCCTTCACCACCATACCTGTCCCCTGGGCCAACGCAATCTCCTTCACGGCTTGACATTTTAATGCACATGTAAAATTTAACTCATGATTATATAAAGAAAGTCAAGCTTTCAAAGCTTCCCCTTCCCCCTACTGTTCTATTCCCTTTAAAAATGTTACTTACCTTAAGGGCTCGGGTCGAATGCAGCATTTGTAAAAACTCCGTATGTGCCCAGTTGGCTAAAGAGAAGAAACACAATGGTGACCGGTCATACAGTGCTTAGCTCCTGAGCACGGTCCAGTATATAGTTACTCCAGGCCGTGGGTTAGCGCCCACCCCTGGAATTCTGCTCTCACGGGGGAAAGCAGAAATGCCAGTGAGACATTCTAGATCCCACTTAACTGCTCTGGGAAGTTGGCATTGCACTTCTTGGTACCCGGGCGAACCCACTGTTGGCGCCGTGGGTACGGAATGCCTGCTATGCCCCTGCAGGGCTGTGGGTTCTTATGGTGAGAAGACATCCTTCCCACATCCCCAGCCTTGATTCTGGATCACCTGGCAGTGGTGTTCAAAGTGTGGCAGTAGTGCCCTCTCAAGGCATTTTTAAATTTTCATAATGATCAAGAGATCTGTTGACACTCAGGGGCAGGGACCAGGACCCGGGATATCCTGATACGCACAGGAAGCAAAAGAATCGTCCTACACTCTGTCCACCTTCAGAATATGTATGCAATATTCATGTCGGCAAAAACCTCTGAGGCCAGAACGTCACTGCTTTACATAGAAATAATAGAGGGGTTTTTTGTTTTGTGTTTTGTATCCTCTAAAATGCAACCGCCTTGTGACTTGAAGGGAAATTTTAACCGGTTTTCCAACTTTTTACCAGTTGTCTGTCATTTAAAAAATCAGGTTGGCAACACCTCTGGAGGCTTTTGAGCCAGTCTTACAACCTCCTGTCTGCTCTGCTCTGCGGCCGGGCCTTCCTGGTGATGCCCCCGGAAGGGCACGCCTCGACGACCTCGCGGCGTCCGCCGGGGTGGCCACCGCCCCAGCTCTGGCAGCTGCGCCTGCTGTTTCTCCTTCATACTGTCCTTACGGGGCTGACTGGTTTCTGAAAGCTTGCGTAGTGGGGGCATATTATCCGTGTGCTTGAATTCAGAATTCAGAAGCTTTGTCCCAAGGAGGGAGTGTTACGCATAATCATTCTGACCTGTTACGGTGAATTAGGAAGTCGGACTAGAAAAATTAGCTTGATCATAAAACGTTTCCTTCTTACCTCTGAGGGTTCAGGGGGCTTCTCCCATCATCTGAAATAAGAAGAAGGATACAAATGATTGGTTTAAAAGAAGAAAACAAGGTGAAGGGGGAAGGTCGTCCGTGGGAAAGCCGGCAGGTGGACTCATTTTCAGACAGACTCATCAGAAGGGGAGGATTGGGAACCGTCTCTCCCTCAGGGGTGGGACCTGCCCGTTTTAGGCTAAACCATACCTTTGCCCACGCGGCTCCAGGACCCTCTCATCTTCCTCCTCTTCCCTGTCAGTGACCACCTCCCCTCCCGTGCCTGGTGCCTGCCTGCCTTCAGCCCCTTGACTGTTTCTGGTGGTTGTTGAGATCACTGGTTCTCAAAACCCATCTCTTTGGCACTCACGGTCGGTCCCCCTCGTTCGTCCTGTGTCACAGTCCCCCAGCCATCAGTTGGCAAGTTAATTACATAAACGAGCCCACCTCATTGCAACGGTGACAGTCTCTCCCTCCCTGGTAACACAGGTAAACAGGGGCCTCCTGTCTTAACCCTGACCGTGAACTCTGACCCTGGAAATGTAAGACTCGGTAAGGTAGCAGGCCTGTTGATTGAAGCATCTCATGGCTAAAGGGTTTTAAAATATTAGGTCACATGAAGATGAGTTAGTGCATTTAGTCCAGAGCATTACCGAGCCTTTGATGTGATAATGAACGTGCATTCTGAATTTGAAAGAGGGTATAGTAGGCAGCATCGTCCTGTTCTTTGACCACAGAATCCTAGAAAGTTTAAAGTCAAACTGGCACAGGTCAAGGGAAAAATCCTCACAAATAAATTTATCTTTTATGAAAGATTATTGGGGAATGAGCGGCTGCGGGTCCCCCTCCTTGGTTCAGAGGGTTCCCTAGAAATGTCTCCAAACTTGAGGAAGAACTTGGAGAAGATGCAGGAAAAGTTTGGTTCCCCTGTGGTTTGCCTAAGCAAGGCCCTGACGCTGCACAGAGGGACTGGGGTGAAGGGGTCTCTGCTTTTTAAACAGTGTCGCTCTGCCTGTTGTCCCACTCACCCATGCGCAGGGGAGTAGAAAATGAGCCTCAACACAGTGCCAGCCGTGTGGCCTGAGGGAGCATGAGAGTAGTTGAGACTAGGAGTGGGGACTGTTTAGCTCCAGGGGCACTTTTGACAGAGCCACTTCCGGTTACCTGGAGTGGAGGGTTCAGACTGCTCAGATGCCCCTGGATGACCAGCCTCATTTGCTTATCAAAAGAAGTTTCTGAATTTAGGGATAGGCTAAGCCTCGGAGGCAGACAGAGAAAGGAGGTTCTGACCCTGAAGAAATGGTTCCCTCCGTAGGTTCCTAGGCCAGAGCTGGTTTTTGTAGAAGAGTCTGATAAACACGGTTTCCCTTAGAGAGTCTTCCTCCCTCCGGTCCCCTCCCTACTTCAGCCCTGCTGAAGCGTCCATGAGCACACACATGTGTCCATGTGCACACACACACCCGCTGAGCTGTTCACACCCAGGCGTGAAGCGGGCAGCGACTGTCTGCACCTCCAGCTCATGCCTCCCTCCCCCACCATCCAGCTGCACTAAACTGCTGAGCACAGCACTTCCCCAGCGGGTTCACCCTCTTCAGTCTTGTCCTGCCTCATTCCTCCCCCAGGACTCTGTTTCTACTTTTGTCCCCTCCAAAAGTGGCCAAATCCTTCTTTAATCTTCAACGTTAAGCCTTAAAGGAGCCTTTCTGACCTATGAGTCTGGTTGGGACCCCTCTGTTTCCCATCCCAGTGACACCCAGGTTTCGTGCTTGTCCTAGCACAGTGCTACTTGCAGGAGTAGCACGGATTTCCCTGGGGTAGCTCCCCTGCTGGACCACCAGGGGCCACCACTCCGTGTCCCGCCATCTAACACAGTGGATCGGTAAATGACTGGGCCGTGAAAGAACAGTGAGGGGAGCGGAGGAGAGAAGCAGGACACTGTTGTAATTCGCTTTGGGGTGACTGACATCCCCTAGATCAGAGGCCCCGAATGCCAGTGTGCGTCTGGAGGGGCGGAACGCTGAACAATTCAGGTTTCCCAGCCCCTTTTGAGATCTCGTATATGAGGATCTATATTTGTGTCAAGTTCTTCATTTCTAAAAAGGTGGTTCCCCCAGGCGGTCCGCTCTCAAGGTCACTTCTCTAGGCTCTGTTTTCTTCTAATGCAAATGTTTTCAACCTTGAACTGCTGAAGTTGTGCTTTCTTGGCCACACCCCACCCCCCACCCCCATGGCACAAAAGAAGAAGAAAAGAAGACTCTTTCCTATTTACCTTTCTGTCTGCAACGCCTTCTTAGCAGAGCCAGGAGGGTCCCACCTATCGCCAAGCCTGTTGCAGAGGCCACAGCCCCCCCAAAGTAAGTCAGAGTTTCCTGCACAGTCAGAGGCCCCCCTGCAAAGCAAACACACGCGTGTGCAAGACTTAGAAGTGTGCTGTGCAAAAGGCCATCTTCCCTGAAGGGTCCCACGAATTCTAAGAGGCCTTCACTTTGGAAGCCACAAACCACCTTTTATCCCTGACACTTAAAGATCAAACACATTTTTCAAAGGAGTCAGGGTAAGGATGTAATCAAAGGAATTAAATGATTAAACGGTAGACACAAGGAATAGAAGTTTGGGCAAATAAAATAAACCGTGGGTAACTTTTGTTGTAATAAAAAAATATAGCTATAGAATAAACATTAGTCATGATAAGCTGTAGAGAAAAAAATTTTTTTTTAAAGGATGGATGGATGAAATAAACCTTACAAACAAATAGAGCTTAATTAGGGGAGATCTGTGGTATTTTCAGTTTTTAGAGGTATGTGATAAAGTTCTCCCAAGATGAATTAAGAATCTGTACAAAATAACCTTCATTTTAAAACAATTTGAGATGAGATCACGTGGTTCAGGGTGGCAAAGCCGTGGATAGTTTAAAACAATGTGAAACTTCAAGGTGTATTACCACCCCCAGATTATAAAGAAATGAGAGGACTCATTTCATAAATCTCAGCTGTGAAGAAAGAGTGGCAATTGTCTACACAATTGATTTTAGTTCCTTCTGCTTTGTATAAGGCAAGAAATTGCCTCACTGATTCATTGTGAAACGTTCATTAAATGCAGGGAAAACCCAGTGACGGAAAGTGAGACCCACAGAGACACACAGAGAAGAAACACCGATTTTGCTCTTTTCCACGTTGCCGTGGCTTCCTGAACCACAGCACCACCGTACCTTGGCAGGTGGGCATGGCCGTGGACCACTGGCCTGTGTGTTGGCACGCTGTCCTCGCCGAGCCGTTAAGCAGTTGTCCCTCTGGACAGTGGAAGGTGCAGGTTGACCCATAGCTGAACTGCCCCCAAGGGTTCGAGCAGTTCATCAGTAGTGGTTCCACCATGGGCAGCTCGGAGCATTTGACAGCTGCAGAAAAAGAAAAAAAAAATAATTCAGGAAAAACAAATGTGCACAATGAAGGTGAAAGAGACTCTGGTTTCGTCTGCAACCTGGCGAGCTTTGCAGCAGGTGAGACAGACTGTGCGAGGTCCCAGAGGGGAGGAGGCCCTCCCGACATGCATGCTGGTGCCCCCAACATCACACAAGCCACGCAGACGATGAGAGTCGAAGAACCGGGTGGGCACAGAGCAGCCCCCAACACACGTCTGCTAACGGATCGATCAGCCTTGCCTACAAATACACTATAAAGTTTTGCTTCTCAAAAATGCTATTGTCTAAATGGTATTCCAGTTGGCAATTACCTGGCATGTCCACATGTGTTATTAAATATTAAATACTGTTAAAATATTTAGTAAGTGTTCGAGCACCACTGGACTCACGAAGTTTGAAAGAGGTCAAGACCACCACCCTCTTGAAACTATTTTTTTCCAGGAACATCAAGTTATGCATCCTAATTTGTAGACAGGAAGCTGAAGCTCAAGAAATGTAATGCAATTCAAATAAACAGTGAGCAGTAGGGACATTTGCAAAGCACAGTGCTGCTCTGTGTGGGGAGCGGAAAGATGAAATGACATCTTTTGTGCTTCATGCGTGGGGTGACAGCCCATTGGGAGGTGCCACATGTGGTGTATCTTTCTATTTAGGTTCTATTTAGGTTCAAGTGATGCAAACATGGTGTGTTCACACTGTCACATAATTACCAGAATTGCAGCTTGTATGTTGTCATTCATGTGCCTGGTTTATGTGTAGCGTGCTTGTTGTCCTAACACATTTTTAGACATTTACGAATGCTCCCTCCTTTAGGTCTGTGAGTAGCAGGGTGTTAGCTTGTGCGGACAGGAAGGGGGAGTGATGTGCTTGCTGCAGGTGACTTCTGAGTGGGACTCGTGTGGGCTTCATGGGGGAGCTGACACTCGGAGTGGTCGTGGGGCCGGATGGGATTTCAGCAGGCAGGTGCAGTAACCAGCTGAGCGCTGGCTGGAAGTCAGCATCAGAACCGCCCGCCCAGCTTTGGGTACCTGTGCAGGCTGGCGCCACTGCTGTCCACTGTCCTGACGGCCTGCATCGGAGCGTGCTCTCTCCCCTGAGTGTGAACCCGGCTCTGCATCCGAAGGAACAGGTGGTGTTCGACCCGAAGGCTCCCAGCCGGTGTCTGCAGGACATGGTGCCCTGCTCCGGAGTGGCGAGGGCCGGGCAGCGCACCGCTGGCGTAGGAGCGGCTGCTGCACCTGCTGTGAGAAAATGTCTCTGTATGCAGAGCCTAAAATAGCCTAAGACTGTCCTGGAATAACTGCCTTCCACTCCTTCACACTAAAGGAGGCTCTAGCCGTAGCTCCTTAAGGCAGTGAAGGAAAACTGCCCATCCTAGGTACGGAAAACGAGGTGTGGAAAAGTATTTGCAAGTGCCCTTGGAGAGAATTCCCCAGGCTAGAACAAGAAACTGGAAGAGTGATGTCACACAAAAAAAGGAGAGTTGGTGTGGAGTTACAGGAAATTTAGTAGAACGCCAAATGTGCGTGGGCCAACTGCCTGCCCACCCCTGCCTTGTTGGGAGCGGGTGGTGTCCTCTGGCCAAAGGTCAGTATGAAATGGGAGGCATGAGTGACACCACCGGCTGCACCATCAACATGACATGCGGGAGGAAGATGGTGTCCACACTCCCGTCTCTGGATCGGAAGGGCTGGGTGAGTCACCCCACCCCTGTACTCTGTCTTGGCAATGAGGCAACAGAGACCAGTCCATGGACCCAATACAGCTCTTTGAGAAAGAGGCCAAAATTACGAAAGAAAATCTCTGCTTAAGAATCAACGCCTCTCACATTCGCAAATGTGAAAAAGTCCTGCTACTCCTTATGCGTTTATAGATCTGAAATCTGGGTTTCCTAGAACAAGAAGTGGTGTTTCTATACAAGTAGTAATATGATGTGTATCCGTCACGGGGAGAGAGCTCTGCCAGGGTTTGTGGCCACCGCGGAAGAGACTGCCAGGAGGGCCGTCCCAGCGAACGCGTCTTACTGTTACCTTCGCAGGTTGGCGGAGGTGCTGTCCATCTCCCAGAAGCCGTGCATTTAACACTGTTGGCCCCCTCCAGCCGAAAGCCCTCGTGACAGGAGAAGCTGCAGGTGGAGCCAATGCTGAATTCTCCACGAGTGTGAGAACAATCCAGCCGTCCCCACTCTGGGGCAAGTAATCTTGGGCACTGGATGGCTGGAGAAACAAATCAGGGACATCAAAATCTGCAAGTTCATTCAGGTACTCGACCAATATGTATTGAGCGCCTGCTCTGCCAGGTGTTTTGCTAAGCAGCAGGTATTCCACACGGGAGCAGGAGGAGGAGGGTGGGTGGGCTCACAGAGAGGGGCGTGGGCAGAAGTCACAACGATGTCGAAGTCCAGGGTGGAAGCGGTCCACTCAAGAACCCAGTTTCATCTCCTCCCTGCACACCTCCTCCAAAGCCTCAGAGCCTCCCTCGGCTTCCCCGATCCTGTCTGTGTGGATGCAGTCCAGGATTTCCCTCCTGCCCTCCCTTCTGCAGAGGGGCTTCCTCTTAGATAGTCGCTGTCCCTGCAAGTTCCGCACATCTGAAACCCCATCTGTTCTGAGCGGTTTCCTCCACTCGGATCTCAGGGGGCTTCTTTGCACTGCAGCTCCACAGCACGGGAAGGCTCGGACCCTCCTGCCAAGGCTCGGTCAGCCCCCAGGGGTTCCTGGAATGGGCCTCTTGTGCTGTTGCCTCTGGTTCTTGGCTCACACCGCCCCACATGCCTTTCTGCCTCAGGGACCCCGCTGACCACAGCTCCGTCTGAGCCTCTGCTGACCAGCACAGCCTGAGGTCCCCTCTGAGCACACCAGCTTTCGGTTTGAATGCATGTCACGTGTCCTTTCTTCCCACTTCTACGGGACACAGAGCTCCTGAAACCCGGAGTCCTCACAGGCCCCACAATTCCTGCAGCAGGGTTTCCAATAGGCAGCCATTTGCCAAGTAGATGAAGATCTGAAATGTTAATTCACTAACCATTTATCACAAAAATTGCTTTTGTTTTTAAGCCTCATCTGAGGACATTTTTTCTTAAGAGAGAGAAAGACATTGATGGGAGAGAGAAACATCAGCTGGTTGCCGCTGCCCGGAATGGGAAATGAACAAACAACCTAGCCATGTGCCCTGACTGGGAATCGAACCCATTACTTTTGGTTACGGGATGACACCCAACCAACTTAAAATTGCTGGCCAGGGCTCAAAAGTTGCTTTTATGAATTATTGTAGTTACGTATTTCTCTCAGCATTATGTCTTTCTCCTCATTAAATTCTCTCGCAGAAGATTATTATTTAGCAACAAATACTGGGTCGTTGGCAAAATGAATGACTATTCTTTCTCTAAATCCAAGGCTATTCTGAAAAGAACCGAGAGGAGTTACCATTTTTACAAGTGGCCCGTGGTGTACACGGGCGGACAACTGCAGTGTTCAGTCCGCTTGGGGATACAGCTTTGGTCTTGACTCTCTCAGTCTCTTCCTGCCAAGGTTATGAACACACCCTCCCGCATATGTGAAAGTCTCTGGACCCTCTCATGGAACAGTTCTCTTGGTTCCACCAAAGGCCTCTAAATAACGTTAAGAATTTAGCTTTGAGCCCTGGCTGGTGTGGCTCAGTGGATTGAGCACTGGACTGAGAAGCAAAGGGCCGCCAGTTCGATTCCCAGTCCAGGGCACATGCCTGGGTTGTGGGCCAGACCCCCAGTAGGGGGCGCACCAGAGACAACCACACATTGACGTTTCTCTCCCTCTCTTCCCCTCTCTCAGAATAAATAAATAAATAAAATGTTTAAAAAAAATTTAGCTTTGAATCGTGTAAGGAAGCAGGTTTTCCTGTCAGAGGGGACTTGTTTCTCCACTGGTCACTCTGCCTCTGCTCGCTCAGTGGCCCCGAGTCCCTCTGATACACCCCAGGATGCTGTGAATGCCATGGGAAAATCTGGGGCTACAAGTTCCTGGACTCTGGCAAATGGGAAAGCAAGAACTGTTTGGGAAAATCTCTGGAATGAATTTGGAGAACGAGGAAGAAACACAGGTATAAAAGCCAGAGAGAGCTCAAGGTCAGGCTCAGACACAGGTGACAATCCCAAGCGCCCTGGCTGGCTGGAGCTGCTGCGCAGGGCAGGGCTGATTCCAGACGCTGGGCAGGCTGGGGCCACAGGGTGGGAGGCAAGTGCCTCTTCCTGTGGAGGAAGGGGGCCCCGAAAGAAGTGTGTGTGTGTGGGCGCTGTGGGGGCTTCAGAGTTTCCAGATATAACAACCACATTGGCTGTGTATATGATTTAAAACTTCAGTGAGCTACAGGTTTGTTTGTTTTTTTTTGCCTTGAAACAGAATGTGGGAGAATGAAGTTCAAGATCAATGCTGTTGGAATAAATGAGTGAGAAGTAAGCGAATGATGAGGACCTAACTCTGTCACCTGTGAACGTTCCAGGGTCCCCTGGCAGCTTGTATGTAATGTGTCCTTCTAACAGCAGGTGGTAGCATTTTATGTCGTTTAATCTGCAGAATTCTTGGCCGGGGATGGGGGTGGGGTGGGGTGGGGAGGCCCCAGAGATCAGGCAGTCCCCTCCTCTCCTTTTTGAATCAAGAAAACTGACAGCCAAAGGCGTGACATGACTTTCTGAAGTGGCACATGACTTCGAGGGAGAACGATGGTGCTCTCTGGATAGTAATCTAGTGCTCGTTCCGCCAGAAAGAATAAACAACATTTTAGCTGTATTTCATATAATGCTAATGATACATTCCTATCAACATGTCCCCTCATCTGGTCACCAGGTGCTGCAGTTTCCAAAGTTCATTTCAGCAGTTACAAGCACGGCCTGGGGAGTGAAAAAGGATGCATTTATAAGCAACTGCCCAGGATGTAAAACCCCGCCACTGGGTGGCAGTGTAGGGTAATGGTGGAAACACTAGCTAGATCGGCAAACTAGACCTGGCTTGGGATGCCGGCACCATACCTCCTAGCTGCGTGTCCTTTGCCTGCTATTTACTCTCTCGAAGCCTCAGTTTCTTCATCTTTAAGATGGGGATAAGAATAACTGTGTTAAAGATTCTTGTGTGGATTGCATGTGGTTATGCGTGTGCAATAGCTGGTGCTTACATACGACACGGGAGATGAAGGTTTGCTGCTGGTCTCATTATCAGTGAGTACGCTGAACAATAAATCGGTACGATGGTACCTCCGAAAGGTAACCATGACCTATGGATTAATTAACTCAGTAAGTTTCCATTCTAGGGTGTACTGTATATTAGGTACTGCATCAGTCAGATGTTGGGAGGAAACCAAAGATGGATGAGACCCAGCCCCCACTTTTGACGATGTCACTCATGTCACTGCTGGTAGGGCTTGCGCTCAAGCCCATTTTACCAGTAAATGATAAGCTCCAATTCGACAGATACTTGTCACACAGACACCTTCTCTGTCTAGGTGCTGCAGTGGATATGAGGATGGTGAGGGCACAGCTCCTGCCCTCCTGGAGCTTGTAACCCTCACAGACATGGAGGGAGGAAGGAAGCACGCGGTAGTCAGACCGAGACCCTCCCGTGGCTTGGGCGCCCGGCTGGGCCCAGGAGAGGCCAGTGTGGGAACTAGCGAGTGGAGACTGTGGTAGGAAAAGCCTTTGCAAGGAAGGAGAGTCCCCGTGACGTGGCTGAGCTTTGGCGAGTGGTGACAAGCTGCTGTCCCTCTCCGACCCTGTTTCCTCATCTCTCAAACGGAGATGATACTGCCTTCCCTTGTCATTTCTGAACTGTGCTAACCATCAAATGCCACCAAGACGTGAGAACACTTTAAAAAGCTGTGCAACCGTCCACTGAAGTTATTACCATAAGGACAGAAAGAGAGAGCGGGGGAGGGCCGCTCCTTTCGGCCCAGATCATCATGCCTTGGGGACAGTGTGTTTCCTTTAGCTTAAGACGGTTTTACACGCGCCCCATTCTGTAGTGTTGCCTGAGAAGCCTTAAGAACACACAGACCAGTGATCCTACCTTCACACGTGGGTGGGAAACCTGTCCAGTGCCCAGATGAAGTGCAATCCAGTCTTTCTGGTCCTGCCAGGGAGAATCCCTCATCACAGGTGAAGTGACAAGTAGACTTATAAGTGGAAGGTCCCAGAGGTTGGTCACAGGTCACTGTTCCGTTCTGAGGACTTTGCAGCGGCATGCAGGTAATGACTAAAGGGGCGTGGCAGAGGGGGAGAGAAGAGGCTGGTTTAGACTTCGGGAGCCCGACACCTGTGTGTGTGTGTGTGTGTGTGCACCCTCACACACACAGGCAGCTCCGGTCAGAGAGGGTTGTTTGAATTCCACAGTGCTCTATCTCCCATTAGAGGTCACGGAACACGGCAGCGGCTGCCAGCAGGCCGACACCCCAGTGTTTGCCTGTGAAAAAAGCCATGCAGCTCACTTCAGTCGCTCGAGTTAGGGGTGGAAGTGGCTGCTTCCTTAGCACTTTCTTCAGAAACGGACCTCCTGACCTTGCCAGAAAACAATGACAAGCGCCTGGAAATTGGAAAGCGGAGTAAAATACTTCCCTCGCCTTCCAAATTTCCTTGCCCCGACCCAGGAGCAGAAAGATCCTGCCTCTGTCACTCATTAGCAATGTGCCTGGACAACACACATGCCGAGCCTCAGTTGCCTCATCTGTGAAATGGGCAAGTGGTCATCCTCACCTTGCAGGGACCTTTAGTTCTATAAAAATAAGAAATTACTTCAATCATATATTAAAATGGAATTTAAAAATTGTGGACATTAATGTAAATGACCATCTGCAAATGGTTTCCCACCAGCCTCATCTTACAATGACCAGTCTCAAATGACCTACTCGTTTACTTGCACAAAGAGGTTAAATTAGATTTCTTTTTCTTTTTTTTTTTTTGGTCACAGTTTATGCATGTGGAGTTTGAGGTATTAGGGGACTTGCTTGGGTTGGAGATCATGCTCTGTGAGTTTTGGCAAGTCACTCAACCTCTCTGAGCCTCGATATCTTTACCTTTGAAATGTGGAGAAACAGCATTCCATAGGCCCCAGGGTTTTCACAGCGACCCAAAGTGAAGATGCTGTGTGCAAAGGTTCATAGCTAGGGACATGTCGATGGCAAGAAAATGAAGACTAAGAAACACACGGCTTAGGGTGCTTCTTCTTCCCTGTTTGACCCGAGTGAGCAGTGTGTGGCTTTAGACCAGAGATGGCAGCAGTGTGGCTGAATCTGAGAGCATTCTTCAGCCACTGACTTGAGCAACTTGAGGTTTTGAGAACATTTTCTGTACCTTTCTCTTCCCTTCATCACTTTCCCTGTTTAACTACATCCCCCTAATCTGATCAACTTGTCCAAAGACCTCATTTTCCCCTGCTTCTTGAAAAGTCTGTGCATTCAGGGCATATGTGTGTGTTGTGGGGGGCAAGTGGGGGGATGGGGAGGAGAGGAGCAAGGTCAAGCAGCCTATAATCTGAAAGGACAAAGGGGGACCCTGTTTCCAGCTCTTCCATGGCCTTGCCTCCCAACAGCTGGGGCCGGTACACAGGGGTGGGAGGGGCATTGAAAAGGGAAATTGATAACACTCTCTCAGCAGTGTTACAACAGCTAGTAGATTGCAAGCCTCCTGGTACCTTCCTGCCCAGCCCACATGTGGGTATTGCCCTGGATGCTCACCCAGCAACGAGAGGAGAAAGTTCAGAGTAAACAAAGAACCAAAAGCAGAAGGGAACTGGAAGGTCACAGGAAGCCGCGGTGCACACCAGCCTCCTTGCCGTGAAACACCCCCACGCAGGACTGTATGGGGCAATGAGCAGTAATCTGCCCCACACAGCCCAGGGTGGCCCGGAAGACTTCCGATCGCTGCGGAACCCTCTTCGGGGACTCCCAGTTCTTCCCCAAAGCTGTGTGGGCCCCATGACATGTCCAGGAGAGGTGAGGGGCACGGTCACATGCCTCACCCTGGCCCCCCCAGACCTAGCTTGGGATGTGCACCCGCCCTAGCTCCAGTGGCCGGCTGCTCCCTGTGCCTGGGGTGTGGCAGGCCATCCAGTGCTGCTGGGTCCGTTCATTCATTCATTCACTCATTCGTTCTTCCACTTGTTTGCCGGTGCCCCAGCTTCACGGCAGAGAGTGTGTGTGTGTGTGTGTGTGTGTGTGTGTGTGTGTGTGTGTGACCTGAAGCACAAGTGGTTTCCTCTCCATTAAAAACACGTACCTGCCTGCTCTCTCTCAGCTGGTGACAGCTCGTGCAGAGGTAAACCATGCAGAGCTGTCTAGTATTCTACTTGTTGGACTTTATTTTTTAAATTGTACAAGCATCATAAAAATACTAATTGCACGGGGGGGGGAACATGAATAGGGAAAACACTGGAAGAATTCATGAGCATGCTAAGAGTGTCTATTTTAAGGTGGGCGTATTTTAGGGGGGGTTATTTTCTCTGCTTTCCTATCTGTAGCTTTGATGAATGTAAACATTGCTTTTTTAAAAGCAGTGTTTGCCATAAATATAACTGAAAATTGGATACATTAGGTGGAAAGAGGAAGGGGGATTATAGAAGCATATTCCTGTCCTCAGTCCCCAAACTCAGATGATCACAACCAGCTGTATTCTGTACAATACTGACATAACATGTCGGCTTGGTTTCATGTCAAGTACAATACAGGTGGGCGTGCTTATGCTGAACGCACACTTTTAAAATTCTTAACATTTTATCCCCTTGTGTTTATAGATTAATTTCTCCCTCTCTCCTGTCTCTTCACTTTATCCTCAGTATATTTCTGCAACCTTAGGGCAGATTGGAGGATGTTTGCAGCCAGGCACCTGTAAATGTTGCCCCTCCCTATTTCACCAAGAGACTTCCTAGGGGTAAAGGTCAGCCTTGGGATGGCCATCCTCAGGCTACTTTTGTTCTCTGGCCTTCTTCCCAGGTACTAGTTTTAGCCAAGTGAGCACAGTTCTCCTGGTTCGGGACGGCTGTCGCTGGTGCTGCTAAAGGCCCTGGTGAGTGGTTGGCAGGGGCCATTCCCTTTGCCCATTGCCCAGCATCCTGTCCCTTGTACTGACTGCCTGGTCCCTGGGGGCATCTATGGTCTGAATTGCCGCATTAGGGATGAAAGTGCTCATCTGTTTTTCAGTCCATCTCAGCTTTCTGGGTGCTACACAGTCCCCACCCATAAAACAGAGTCTTTTAAATACAGCCTGCAATTCATTTCCAAGAAGCTGGGAAGAATCCATCTGACCTTGGCACTCTGGAAGATGCGCACTCCAGTCCCCAGCAGCCAAGCACTGGAGCTCGCTTGCTCCCACCAGGAGTGAGCCTTCGTCACAGGTGAAGCTGCAGGTGGACTGGTAGCGGAAGGCACCAAAGTGGTGGGTGCAGTTCATCTGGGCCCTGTTCGGAGCCTGCAGATCCTGGCACTGCGAAGCTGAGGGTGAGGAGAGGAGGAAGTGAGGGAGCAGGAAACAGCGGTACTCAGGGTCTCACAGATCCCACCCCTCAACCCGACCGAGTGCCAAGAACAGGGATTCTGAATCTGGCACGTTTAACCTGGAGGATGAGCAAAGAGTCATTTAATCACAATGGCTCATGAAGGGTTTTAGGAGGAAAATGCCAAGCCATTGTTAATTGGTGATATGTATGAATAATTTCAAAATATCATACTTTTGGACCCAAGAATCTATGCTAAGTGTAATCAACATGCATACAGAATAAATCAATTCATTGATTTTTTTATTATGACATTATAAGAACAAAATGTTGAGAACAAATGTAAATGCCATTAATCAGAGGCTGAGAATAAATTACGGCAGATCCATGAGGGTGATACCGAGGATCACTAAAAATGATATCGTTCACCTTGGAAAGCTATGGACAGTGTCTCATGGCGTGATGTTAAGTCAGGAAGCAGAATGTAAATTGTATGACCTCATGCACCACTACTTTAGTTGTATATAAAGTAGATGGTTATACACAGAGAGAACACTCGGATTCTGGGTGTGTTAAGCCCTATCTTCAAATTGGCAATGAGGATTGTAGCTACCGCAGGGAGTTAGACTCAGGTGCTCAGCACATCCTGTCTGCTGGGACCCTTATCAGAGGCCACAGCAATAGCAGCAGCAGCGGTGACAGACAGCAGGGATACCATTGAAGCTGGGCACCATGTGCAGACCACAGCTGTTGGAATAGAAGCACCGGGGTGGGGCGGGGAGGCTTATCACAGGGGCTCTTGGGACCACATCTGTGGGTGCCTACGAGAACACCCAGCTGTCTCTCCTGGGTGGTTCCCCCGCCTGGAGACCAGACTGGCTGCCGTGAGCCCTTAAGAGCCCGCCCTCTGAAGCGTGTCCACGGGCTCTCGCGTCTGTGTCTTTCAGACGGCGTGTCTGCCGTGCATCTCGCTGCTCTCATCGGCCTCGCCTCTGTGGCGTGTGGTCATCTATTTCCCCACTGCCTCTCCCCCCCCAATTCTCACTGTGGTAAAATACACATAAAGTACAATCTACCCTTTGCCACTTACCCATTCAGTGGTATTCAGTACATTCCTACTGCCCATAGGTGCCACTCAGCTCCAAGACAATTTTCATCCTCTTAAACTGACACGCCATACCAACCACGTAATAACTACCCATTTACTGTTTTCCCAGCCCCTGGCAATGACCCTTCCACCTTCTGTCCATGACCCTGACGACTCCCAAGTACCTCCTGTAAGTGGAATTGTACAGTATTTGTCCTTCTGCGACTTGCTCATTTCCCTTGGCCTAATGGTCTTGAAGTTCATTCATGTTGTGGCACGTGTCTGAATTTTTTCCATTTTAAGGCAGAATACTATTGCATCATGACTTTGTACCATACTTTGTTTACCCACTCATCTGCCGCTGGGCACTGGGTGGCTTCCACATTCTAACTGCGATGGTGTGCTGCCCGCATGGGCGCACGAATCTCGTTTCAGGGCACTGGTTTCAATCCACTGCCTTCTTTTTATATCAGACTCGGACTCACGTGGATTTCCCAGCGGTCCCAGTGCCGGTACCCATGGAGCTCATCACAGTCTTTGGCTGGCTTTTGTGCTCGTTAACGCACAAGCACTGGTGAGGCAGGCGAGGAAGGCAGGTGACACGTCACCCTTCTAACAGAAGACACTGAGCCTCCGAGAGACCAAAGCGACGTGTTGCCAGGATGTGACGGAACTAGACTACAGGCCTTGTCCGTGATTCCCCCACCATCCCATGCTGTTCTTAGTGCCCCACTCCTTCCTCCCTACCTGTCTCCTTCCTGCCAACCCACCCTCTAAGTGTCAATCAACATGCGTAATGAACACGTTGTGCCTAGTACGGGCTTTGCTCCCCATATCCTCCCTGGTGCCCAGCACAAAGGGCGTGGCACACAGTAGGCTCTTTATGAGTGCCTGATGAATAAATGAATGCCCGTGCTAACGGCAGATGCTGATGCCTTTAACAGGCTGAGTGGCACGGAAGGAGTGTTTCGTTTGATGTCATAGTACCTTGACAGACTGGGGCTGGCGCTGTCCACTGTCCCATGCCAGCGCACTGAACTGTGTCGGCTCCGCTCAGCACGAAGCCGTCATCGCAGTGGAAGCTGCAGCTGGTGTTGTGCTGAAATGCTCTCGAGGATGGAGAGCAGGCCATGCTTCCATGGGTGGGACTCTCCAGTGGCTCACAGGTAACGTCTGAAAGGAGAACATCACAGTCTGAGACTAGGCAATGGATGGCTCAGTTCTTTCTCAGAGGAGCCCCTGAGAAAGGCTACATCTTTCTAACCATGTGGTCAGGATGTCCAGACTTGCTTTTCCAAAGGCAAACTGCCTAGACCACCACCCCATGCCACCCTTTGTCTGCATCACTCACCTGCTTTTCTAGTTGTTGGGAACTGCCCTGCCTGGTTTCAGAAGCTGTAACCCCACCATGGCTAAGGCTGAGTGAGGCAGGCAAGGAAGACCAAAAGCCACTAAGGAGACGAAGCTTATCTCCCTGGCAGGGGTGTTGCCTCGGCCCCTTTTACTTTATCCCCAATGCACCATCGGTTACCCGAAGATGGGTAAGATTCCTCTAGGGAGGGACAACCTAAGACAGACGTGATCATGGGGGCCCCAGGGAAGGACTTGGGGGGGCTATAGCAAAAGGGGGTGATGAACTCTCACCCCTCAGCTTTGACATAGTCTGAGTCCTCAATCTGTCTGCAAGAAGTCTCCTAATCCCTTGGCTGCCTTACTTCCCCTGCCTGGCTTAAGCCTGAAACAATGACAGAGGGTAGTGCTGCCCTGGTCAGGAACAGGCCGGTTGCCCGGGGCGATCTGACCTAAGAAAGAATTCATAAAATCCTGTGAAACCTTCTTTGCTAAGAATGCTCTCAGTTTTCTGATAAGGGTCCACGCAGGAAATGAGTTTGTTTCCCAAAGTTTTGTGGCCCAGTAGCTAACAGACCCTGACTCAGAATAAGCCCTCAGAGTTCTTTGTATGTTATCTGTTATTTGATCCTTATTGCCTGACAATGATTGATGAACTTTACCTGTATTCCTATGGCAAAATGAACCCAATAAAAGCCCATTGAGGAAAAGGCTCTTGGCCCTTCTCCTTTGAGAGATCGCCCACCACTCCTCCCCAAGCAGATCACATCTTGGCAAACTTATTCTCATCCAGGTAGAGCCCCCCACATCTAGTCTCAACTTAGACTTCACTTTCTTTAAGAACCTTCTCCGCCCACCCCAACTCAAGGGTGGGAACCACACTCCCACCTCTGTGCTCCCACAGCCCCTGTTCCTGCACTGTTCATCCACTCATGTCATTCTGCCCCTTGGAGCATAGTCTTCTGGAGCCTGGAGTTGGTCACTCTTAGTCGTATCTCAGAGCTTTGCAGCGCCTAGTGCAAGCAAAGCTGCTCTTACAGCATGTATTGGCATTACTTATGGAAGAGCAGATATAGAACAGGCTGGATTTTCTGGAATAAGCTGGAATAGCCTAGCTTATTGTGGACACTGTATTATCTTTTCCCATGAAGTGGTCCTGAGGGGCTTTGTCTCTGGAATACAGGATGTCACCCTCATCAACTTCGGCTGCCAAATGAGTGAGATCCTGAGTACAATGAAGCCCCGAAGGACCTTTGTCCTGAGAAGTCTGGTTTCCTCATGCTCTTCCCTGATAAAGCATTTCATCTCTAGGCCAGCTATTCCTAGTTTTTGGTTTGGTCTTTTTTTTTATTTTTTTTTATTTTTTTAAAGAACCACCCTTACACCCTGGGCTTAGACGTCTGGTTTTCACATGTGAGAACCAAGGATGCTCTAATGTTTCTCTCTCACAGGACAGACAAGGAAAGTGGGATTCGGCAGGTTTAAATGACTTCGCTAGAGTCTCCTACCCGGACAGCAGCAGAGCTAGGCTTGTACCTGAGGTCTCGTAGGAATTCATTCACTAAGGCAGCCTGTAATTTTCAGCTGCCCCTCTCTTCCTCCCTGCCTTGTAAATGGAGGGCAGGGTGTGGGGCTCTTGCACAGAACTCCGCTCTGTGGTATTAGTTAACTGCCTGGCATTACATCGCAGCCTCTTTCAATGCAGTGTGCCTTTGTTCCTCCGCCACAGGCCACCTTCAAGGGCTACAATGAGTATTCTCCTCTTTTGGGGGGGTCCAATAGCCACTGCTCTGACTCCCTGTCAAGCACCGGACATTGTCCCCTGGATATGCCAGCAGGGCCAGAGGGAGAAAAAGAGGTGGAGGCCAAGGTTGACCGAGCTCTCAACTCTGTGCGAGGCACTTCATACACACCATTTAATGGTGTGCACTTTATATACTTCACCCTCACAAAAGCCCCTTGCAATTCTTAGCGCGTTTCATGGGTGAGAAAACCATGCCTCCCGGAGGTGGAGCAGCTCGCCCAGATCAGAGCCTTGAGGAGCCGACCCTCCCACTGTGCCGTGATTCCCTCCCGGGTGTACTGGGGCTGCCGGAGGAACATCCCACCCTCACGGGCTGGCAACGGTGCGGTCCACTGGCCGGGGCCAGTGCCCCAAAGTGTGTGCCAGCCCCTCTCTGGATAGCCAGGTCACACTTGAATTTACAGCTGGAACCATGTGGAAAGGCAGCCCAGGCATGAGCACCACCCTCGGTTCCCTTGTTGGGGTCTCCAGGAGCTGACATTGCGTAGCTGGAGAGAACGCCCAAGGACAGAGAGAGAGGTCTGAGGAGGGAGAAAGACCACGCCCACAGCTGGAGAGCCGCACAGAGGCATCTCGAGGGAAGGCTGGCAGGGTAGGAGGCTGTGAGGGTTAGGAGAGCCCAATGTTGTTGGTCCGGATGCAGAATACCAGGCTGCAGGGTGACCCAAACCTCTTAAAAATCACAGACTCCAACATTCTGTCTTCCCTCTACCTTTACACACCTGTCCCAGGAGGCCTTCTGGTGTCTGTCTACAGGTGTGGATGCGACCTATTCCCCACTCATGCGAAATCTATGAATGAGATCACGCTGACCCTACCTGAGGGCTGTGAGTTTGGGGGAAGGGAAGATTTTTTAAAGTTATATTTCTAGTAAAATCAGCCTCTTAGTTTTCTAGAGCCCAGTGCTCTGTTCCTGCCCCTGGCTGTAGTCACATGATGAGGGGGAGGTGGAAGGACAGTCAGGCTGTGGCCATGTGCGCCCACTTCTCTAGAGCCGGCCAGGGTCGCCCGTACCCCCAGCCGGCGCTGGGTGTGACGTCGTGTGTGCCCCGCTGCCTGTAACTCACCTCTGCACACAGGGGGCGAGGCCGTCCACACCCCTGAGGCTGTGCACTGCACCAGCTCGGGCCCAACTAAGACGGATCCCTCTTCGCAGCTGAAGCTGCAGCTGGACTGGCGGGGGTGCGTGTCTGCAGAGTGCTGGCAGCGCATGCTGCCTCGCTCGGGGGGCCGCAGGGCTGGGCACGGGGTGGCTGGAAACAAGCAAACAAGCACAGGCCGTGGTGTGAGCACCTGGGAAGCCGAGGAGTCTGCAGTAGCCAGGTGCCTTCCCAAAGGGACAGGCAGGGCGATGGGCTTGGTGGCTCAGGAGGTATTTTTGTTAGCTGTTGGGAAAGATCCAAGCACCCTTGTTTTTCATTGCTAGAGCAGCAAGGCCAAACGATCAAATTAATAATATTCAGCCCCAAGTCCTCTTTACTGGACTCTGTTCATTTCATAATCAACAAAGGGAGGGAGGACCCTTTGCAGTGTTTTTGCCTGAGAATCAAGTCTGAAGCTGATTATCTCACTCTACGGGGACAAAACACCATGAAAACCAAGACTCATGTCACTCTGGCTGATGGGCAATAGCAATAACCAGAATTCCTCCTGGTTGTAGGTCCTCATTATTAGCCATTCTACTTAACCCGCAAAGCTCCTTCCCCCCTCTGAAGTTCAAGTTGTTGGTGAAGGCGGAAGGCATAGGATCTACATACCTACACAGTTCGGGGGCTTATTCGACCAGTTTCCAGAAGCCAAACACTCCAGCTCGCGGGCTCCATCCACGGTGTACCCTTCGGCGCAGTGGAAGCTGCACCGTGAGTTGAAGGAGAAGTCTCCCAGAGGGTGGCTGCAGTTCATGAGCACACGCTGAGGGAGCTCCAGGGCCCCGCACTCCCTGACTGCAAGACAAGATAAGGACCTTTTCATTGCAGGCTTAAAGGCAAGGTCAGCTTTGCTGGAAGCTGCAACTATTGAATAACTCTCTTAACCCTGTCCCTCTAGGCTTCTCACCCCACCTGGTCCTCTCTGTTCCCTTGTAGGAGGTGCATCTTGGGAAACACCCATTCTTTCACTGGTATAATATCTGCCTAGCTTTGCTGCCTTTACATTTCCCCCTTTATCTCTTGAGATTGTATAGCAAATGTTCTCCCTGGGAATAGAGTGGTTTTAGGCCCGAGCGCATGTCTAGGGACACCTGAGCAGGGCAGAGGGCCGGGCGGTAGAGAAAGCACAGCTCCAGGGCCAGGTATCAGTAGAGCGGCGGCCTCACCATATTCACAGTCTGGTCCGTAGAAGCCGGGGTGGCAGGAGCAGGTGTAGTTCCCGATGGTCTCGATGCACTCCCCTTGTCTGCTGCAGGATGCGTCCTGGCAGGAGGCTGCGTGGGTGCAGAGGGGTCAGAGCTGGGCTTTCCCAGCACGTGCGGAGGGGAGTGGGTTCTTGCTCCAAGCCAGGGGCTCAGCCCCTCTCGGCTGAGGCTGAGTTAGGGAAATGACACCAAGCCTCAGGGTCGTTGGGGGAGCCAGTCCTGTCCCCCGTGAAGGGCTTCACCTGGCCTCCATTCAAGCTGCTTTTGTGTTGCCTAGGGAGGGACTACTGGGTGTGGACACAGAGGGACAAGCAGAGCCCTGGGGAGAAGTGCAGACAGGAAGTCCTCTGCGTGGTACCAAATAGGCTGTGCCTTTTCAACCAAGACTGTGCACAGCGGTTATTATTCCAGACACCCTATGGCAGATGCCACGGTGCGAAGGCTGGGGGTCACAGACAGACAGACACACACACACAATCACAACCCTGGCTCGACTGCCTACTCGTGACCTTGCCGTGACCTCAGGTGAGTTCCTGCACGGAGCCCGACCTGCCCAGTGTCAGGGCCCAAACCCTTCCGCCTTCAGTCTGTTTCAGATCTGTGCCCAATGCCCCAGGGTAGAGGAGCAGAGGGCCAAGTGAGAGTTTTAAGACCTGCTCTTGGTAAAGGACAACTGGTTTTGTGAGAAGATGTTTCAAAGGTCTAAACAGGCCAGGCTTAGACAGTGCAGAGCCTGAGTGCGCTGCCCGGCCCTCCTCGCTGAGTCTGTGCCACTGGGTAATGGGCCAGCGTTCCTTCCCTGCAGGAGACGCTTTGAGGCTGCGCGCACTCTGCGGTAGGGGGAGGGCGGGTGTTAGAACTGATGCTATCTGAGTGCTGAGAATGTCTTCATTGGCACTGATAGCTGGCGTGAGGTCTGTGGCTGGACTGTTTTCTGGGGGTGTTTCCTGTTCACTAAGCCCTGGCCATACATTGGGCCCATTTCTGGCTCCTATTATGAGAAGAAATCCCTAGGTCACATAGAGGACTATACTCGATGACTTCTCTGTTTCCTCTCAACTCTGAGATGCTGTGAGTCTCTACAACATGTGCAAGGCTCTGCAGAAGTGCCCATGGCAATCAGAGAGTTTGGGGAAGCTGCTGTGAAGTCCTGGGAAGGGTCCACAGTAGAGACAATGCAGGAGGCAGCAGTAGCTGGTAGACAGAGGCTGGGGCCCCATTGTCCATCCTGTGCACTCTGACCCCCCGGCGCCTTGCAGGAGCACTGCCTGCCTGCCCTGTGCTCTCAGAGCACGCGGTCCATGTTCTGACTGTGACTTCCCCAGGACCTCAGAACCCCAGGAATAAGAAAACAGCCCGTGTTCGGGACTCTACTCCTTTTCAGGGTTTTGGTCCTATTAGTAACTTGTCTATTCTTTGGGATCTCCGGGAAAGAAATGAATGATGATGCAATGAGTAAATCTTTTTTTTTTTTTAAAGCCAATGCTGAGACCTAACAAATCCTGACACTTACGGAATTATTCCAACTTTATTTCTCGTTGCAGTATATATATATATATAATTTCTCATCTGTCTCCTACAAAGAGCTGATGGTTCTCTATACTTTTCCCACTTGGATGGCAAAATGCTGATCCATGCTAGTGGGGGCGGGGGGGCAGGGGCCAACTGTGCTGAGGGAAAAAGGTGCCAGTGAGTGATGTCTGCTGATCTTGCAGCTTAGAGGGGTGGCATCATTCATGCCAGTCATTTTTAGTCTCCTGTCAATCCTATAACTGCTGTGCCTTTTATTGGGAAAGACTATCTTGCCAGCATGGATTTCGGGGGGCTGGTCAGGGAGTGGAAGCCATGGCAGCTGAGCTGTCAGACCGGGCCAGCTCTGTACACAGCAGGGAGTGTCTGGGAGAGCTGGCACGTGAGCAAATATGCTGCTGGTGTCCATCCCAGCCTTCAAAGAGCAGCCATTCATTTGTTTAAAAACAAATAAGTTACTTATAAAATGACACCTGACTACATGACAACCCATTTATGGATGTGGTTCCCCTCAGCGGGGAGGCTTGGGTGAGGAGGAGGAGGAAGTGGAAGGAATACTCTAGACTGTGTATTCTGTTCCTATTGTTGAAGACTGCTGGGGGGGGGAGTTGTTTATAATCTAAAGAAATTAGAACATACACAGGAGAACGTGGCCTCTGTAAAATGACTTATGAAGGAGGAAGCTCGGGACCGTTGACACCCGCCCCAGTGACCATGTGCCACACAGGGCAGGAGGGACTCCTCTGGCCAGGAAGCCACACAGGGAAGACGGAGGCAGTTCTGGCACTGAGCACGTGGATCTGGGAAGAACCAGCTGTCGTGCATGTCCGCTTAGTCCGGACCTGAGAGAGCTGAGACTCTAATATACTCACGGGATCTCATCTTCAGTTCCCTCTTCCCTTCCTTATCTCCCAACCCCCACCAAAGCCCAACAGACCTGAAGATATGTTGTCATGGAAGGGAACCTATGAAGCACTTGTGAACCTCGGTCACGTTCTCACATTGTCTCATAAGAATGTAGAGCGAAGAGTGTGGTGGCCTGTGTGGCTCAAAAAGACCAGCTTTGAAATCAACATGAGTTTCAAAGTGGCTTCATCATCATGAGCTTAGAACACCAGGCAGATTCCTTAAAGGCTCCGAACCTTTCTTCCTTCAGCAAAACGAGAGTAATGGGGGGAGTGACCCATGAGGGTCTCATAAGGACCAGCTGCCACTGATGCAAAATGGTCTCGTGACACATGAGTTAATGACAATGCGTGGGGCATACTGATGTCCCATAGGTGTTAGTTTCAGCTGTGTCTCCTCGGGGTAGGGCTGAGTTCATGCCTAACTTACACTGACTGCCTCTTACTCTAGGGCATGGTGGTGCCAGAAAGCTCTGGGCATACATTTTAGGAGACTGAAACTCCCTGAGCACCTGTTTCATCAGCTACAAACTGAGAAGGGTGGGGTAGATGATATTAAAATGCCCTTCTGGTTCCGAAAGTCTAGTTTTCTCTAAGCCTGACCTTCTATTCTTCTAAGTGCTCAGTAATGCTGCTTGGTCGACAGTTTTCACATCCCTGACTTCGCGACTCCATGTTACTGACTCAGTGACTGCGCTCATGAACCAGGGGTGGCATTTTCTATTTTAAACAAAAAAAATTCAAAGCAGAGAAGACCGTACCTGTGTAGCACAGCGCCCGCTTCCTCTTCCCGCACGGCTCATCGTTCCACTTGCCGGGGGCCGACGCGCTCTTGATATAAATCTCCACGCAGTCCTGGTTGTTCTTCTTGTTGTTAGGCTCATTGTCGGCCCAGTTCTCAGCCTCCTTGGTCAGAGTCTTTTTGGTCCCCACCCAGGTCCATTGATTATTGATCTTCCGGATCCCGATCCAGTAGTAATCTTTGTAGTAAGGCAAGAAATCATTAAGGTAAGCGATTTCGTCTTTATTCTGGATGGCCACTAAATCTGTGAAGAACCGTTGGCAGAATAAACGGGAGGAATTCCACGAGTAGGGGCTGCTGCTGTAATTATAGGTCCACGCTGCTGCTCCGTTCTGGTTCATCAGTTCTGCGTAGGGGAGAGGGAGGGAGGACCAGGAGAGTTAGCGTGTCTAGCCACAAGCGGCTTCGAGGGTAAGGGCCCCTGGAGTCAGGCGAGTTTCCGGCCAGAAGATGAGTCCCCCACGGGTGACTCTTTCATGCCCAATCTATTTGTTTTATGTTCCTATCATAATAGGAACGTGACCTGTTCTGAGGATGCTTGGAATTGAAGATTTGGAATCTTAAAATGCTAGAATTGGAAGGGATTTTAGAATTCATCTAACCTTTTCCTTTTATACATGGAGGGGACATGGTCAGTAATCTGCCGAGTCCAAATTAAGTGACACCTGCCACGTCCTGAGGGCTGCCTCCCGTCCACGCGTGCGAGCTCTTCACAGAGAAACTGAGATGCACCTGTGACCTGGAGCCCACCTGCTGCCCCGCCTCTTCGCCCTCACATTCGTATTCTTAGCAAAACAGAACACCAATGCCCATGCCTTTGCCCATGTTCTTTCTGCTGTCCCAGCTGCTCTCCCCACCTGGGCCCAGTAAACTCTCGCCCCTGCCTTCCATGGCACCTCGGTACACCTGGTGGTCCTCCCTCCAGGCTCCCGCTGCACCTCCACTCTGCCCCCGCTTCCCTCCTGCCCTCCTGTGCAGCAGCGTCTGTCTCCGAGTCCGTGCGGCATGGTCCACACCTGCTAGATTGTGAATCTTGATGGGGTCCCTTCTCAGCTCTGGATTCCCGACACCAAGCAGACGGCTTGGTACGTAACAGGCGTTCAGTGAGCACCAGCTGAGTGAAACACCGCAGGTTTGCGGCAGAGGCAGGTTAGGAATCAGACCTCTTGGCTTGCGGTCTGACAGTCATTCTGTGGCTCCTGGCTGTTTCTCTTTGGAAAATGACTTCCCCCATCTCTGCTTACTCACCTACCAAAGTTCTACACAGGCCTTTTAAAGAAGTGCTGATGATATCAAGTGAAATAGAGAATGTGCCCTTCAAACGGGTAAAGGGCGAGCAGGGTGATGCAGGAACTGTCATCGGGGCCAGCGGGAGCTCGCCCAAGCAGAAGAGCCAGCCCCCATGTGGAGCGGTGTACAATGCAAGCAATCAGGCCTGGAAATGGCTCCCTTTCCTGTTTACAGAGTCTTTTTCCTATTCAGCTCTCTCCCCTGCTGCCTGCCTGCCGGTTGGTTTTGCTTGTCCCTCCCTCCTGACATGTTCCTTACGCTACTGTTTTGCTCTGAGACTTTACTCTGGTGTCAGATGCATTACAAAGTTCATGGACTCTGGGTAATTTTGCCTTCATAGGCCCCTTTTTCCATAATATTTATTAAAAACAATATTTTACACCTAAAGAAGACGATGTTAATATTGCACCCTACAAACATTTCCTTTGACCTAGACTGGAGTAAGTGTTAAAGAAATTAAGATGCTGTTGTGGGTCCCTCACAGTTAATGTAGGCCTGGGCCTGGTGGGTAAAGCCGCCTTGGAGAGATCGGCGGGAGTTCTCCCCAAAGCCTTTTCTAGCAATAGGACGGTGTCAGTGCCTTTTGTTCTCCCAGGAATCTAGGGCAGCTTTCCCACGCCTTTGTTTCCCCAGCCTCGGAGAAGGGACCCTCATTACTTGTGGCCAGAGGAAGGGTGAGCGTAAAGGTTACCAGAGATCAGGGCACTGAGGCAAAGAAGCCGGGCCGTTCTGAAGACTCCGAGAGGCCTCCAGTTCCAGCTGGCTCCTGGGCAGCTCGCCTGAAATGAGAGAAGAAAACTTCCTTTTAGTGCTCACGTGCGGTCAGCGTGACCAGAAACGTTCCAGCCCACAAGCACGGCACGGAGGTGCGGTCCTGCCTGCGTCTTGGTTCTTCCTGCTCTGCTGCTAAGTTCTGCCGCCCCAGACACCCTGCCAGAGCGGTCGTTCTTCATTCACCCGACACATAGGTACCTAGGAATTACTGTACTTCATGACTCTAATACGCTTCTTTTATGATACATTTTGTAATGTGCATGTCAGAAAAACACTGTCATTATTATGATGCAATAATCTTCCTTTAAGAGCTGGTATGCCATCCCCAGGGATAGCAGGAAGTCAGGTGACAAGTCGAGCCTCGCTCGCTGTGCTGTGCTGGGTCTTGCTGACCTGTGTTTTGTCTACCGGCTCGAGGATTTCGTCACACGCCTGCAGTGCTGTTCAGTGTTTGGTAGACGTGCGTGTGCGCACAGGTGCCATTCACTCATACATGCCGTGTTCTCCTCGGATCGCTAGCGTGTGTTGTTTTTCATGAGCTCCTCTCTGTTGGGATCTCATCAAAGCCATTAACATTTTGAAAATTGGTTTTAGACAAACAAGTTCTAGAAATGTTTATCTTGCTCAACCCCCTCATGTCCTGCATGAAAAGACCAAAGGTTGGAGAGTCTAAAACAGCACATTCAAAATGGCAGCAGCAGAGCCTGCCTTTGAAACAAGAAGGCTCTTCACTCTTTTACCTTCATGAACCTCCAGGCCTCCAAATCCACGCCGCACTGTTGTAGATGACAGAGCCTGTGATGTGACAAAGCCTAGCTGCGGCATGGGTGCCCCTCCGAATCCCCCCGCCCAAAGTAAACCCACCAACATAAAAGCAGCGTGTGGCTCAGCAACTGAAGTTTTCTTGCTCTTCCATCCAGATGGCTACCTAAACCCCCTCCGATAGAGAAATCCTGAATTGCAGAGACCACGCTGCAGTGATAGACAATGTAAGGTGCATGGGGTTGGGGTGTGGGGTGCACACGCACTGTTGACCACAGCCTGACCGGAGAGTGGGCGGACATAAATCACTGCAAGTCTCCCAGATAGTGGGGTTGCCACTGTATGAGAAGCCTGGTACTTCTCCATCTGGGAGTTCCCCAATATTGCCCTTGACAAGGAGGCACACTGTGTCCTTGTGGGCAAGGGCATTAGCTGGCTGGCCTCGGGAGGACCTATGGCCAAACACTGGGAGGAGTGTCATCACAGTACGGTTTACAGGGCTGGCTGTGTGCACAGGAAGCATGCCGATAATCCCGCCTGGGAACTCGATCTCACCGAGTGCTCTCTGGACTGTGTTGTACCACTGCCTAGTCTTAGCAGCGCATTTCTGTTCAGTACCCACCAAGTACCACGCCAGGTGCCAAACCAGAAATCCCCAAACCAGGATGAGGCTGCCTTCCCAAGGGGCACATTCAAGCAAGAATTGGAGAAACACACATTCAGATTTCCAATTTCCGAAAGCATGCTTTCCTGAAACCAGTCTGCCTAAGGTCATGCCATTCTTCCATTTCATAAGAGAAGTCTCACCTTCTACTCCTCTGACTCTTATTTATTATGGGGTCTTGCCACCCAGCCCCCATCTATAAGACAAACACACTCCTGTGCCAGACAGAGACAATCCACAATATTGGTACAGGCGTTGGGACCTGAGTGCTTCAAGTGACCTTGTGACAAATCCTTTCCAGGTCTAGTGGCTTCCATTTCTCCCCTTTCATCAACTTGGAGGGAGGACCAATTAAGCTGTCAGATGCTAAAGCACAGATTCGGAGTTGATGATAAATCACTATGTAACTTTGGGCATATAGCTGGGAAGGAGTTCAAAGAATTGACATTTCTACAATAAAACTTCTCTTTCCCTTTGCTTCTTCATGTGAATGAGGTTTCTCAACGTTTAAATCTTAAAAATGAAATACCAGAATAGGGTTGATGTTGAATTTGTCTGCTTGTATTGATAATTAATATTCACGCACCATTACATGAACAAAGAGGGGGGAAGCCCCTCTTCTCATTTAGATTCATCTTCAGTTGCATTTTAAATATAAAAGTTTAGGTTATGCATCAAGATGTGTAGTATGTTTATGCTATTTAACTGATTATTTACTAAAAGTAATTGCCACACTGATACAATCAAAAAGGAAAAATTTCACACACAGAGACATGGTCTCAGAAAATTGAACCTTCTCCACTGGGAAGTGTCAAGGAGAGAGCTGGTTTGAAACGTTTTAAGAGTTTAGAGGCCTGGGAAGCACTTCTGGTCAAGGCACAACTTCCAGGAAAGGGAAGTGCAAGTCACTGTGTCCCCCTCCCTGCCTTAATCTGACCACACGTCTCCATTTTTCAAAGTCACCAAATACCGACAGTCGCCTCTCCAAGGTTATTTGAGAGGGGAGTTGCCAGAGACAGAGGAGATCACTGCCAAATCAATTTGGCCTTTCTCCTGAATTCTACAGCAGGTCTTTGGACCAGGGATGCTCAAGGTGGGGCCGCCACCTCTGCCCATCACTGAGACTCTGTGGGTTCGGATGCCTTATTCATGCTCGCTCACCTGAACATATTGTATGTTGGGCTAACGCAGTGATTCTTATCCTCACAGAGCTCATGAACTCCTCTGAAAGTCTGATCAAAGCCGTAGTTAGGATTCTTTAAAAAATAATACACACAGTTTTTGAAGATGATTTCAGAGGGTTCATGGGCCCACTAGGTCCATCCATGTTTAATGGACCCCAAGTTCAAATCTCTGTGTTAACCGTAAGGCAGCACCTTGACTCATTGGCAACTGGCAAGGGTTTTGTGCGTGGGAGCAGAAGGTGAATGGTGCTTAAAAGTCTTCCTCTGAGTGATAACTTCCTGTGAAACTTCCCTGGGGTGCACAGGCATCCTCATACCTGCTCTGTCTATGGCAGCATTGCCAGGACAGCGCCAGTTCTCAGTTACTGAAGAGTTCAAGACACTGTCCTTTTTCTACAAAGCAAGTCGAGTGTGGCAACAAGAGGAAATCTTGAGGCAAAGTGGCCTCGGGTTCTGCTAATTTCTGCTTTAATGATCTCTGGCTGCGCACTTCAAACTGGGCATTACTGGGAAGGAACCCGAGACTGGGTCCCTAGAATAACATCCTGTGCTGTGTGACCATCATTAAGGCTGCTTTGCTCAGGGGCCACCTTTAGTTTTACTTCTCCAAAGAACTGAAAATAATGGTGGGGTGCAGGGGTGGGGTGCAGGGGTGCAGTGCAGAGAGAAAGCAGAGGGAGCATGTAATTTTTCCCAGGCCTCACTTTGCAGAGGAAGAGGTGACGGAGGCCAGCAGGGGTTCCCATCGCCAGCGTCCAGGCCCCTTACAGAGTTGGCAGGAATGCCGCCAGGCAAGGAGACTCTATTCTATCTGCACCGTAGGCCACAGCTTTGCACTTTTAGAAGCAGAATGGAGCAATGTCCCTCCCAAGACCCTTTGTCTTCTGCCCAGTCATTGCCCAATGTCTCGTCTTGTCTACAGCTCAGCTTTCTCAACTTCCTCACCTTCCCTCTGCTCTCCAGCCCCTGCTGCAGCAGCCTGCAAAACTGCTCTTGCTGACTTCACGCCCGGCATCCAAATGACCAAACCCAGTGAAGACATCCACCCTTATCTCCTTCTACTGTTCTGCAGCAGTAAATACTACCGACTACTTCCTTTTGCTTAAAATCCTTCCCTTGGTTCTTCTTTCAATTCTCCTCTGCTCTCTTAAGCAACTTTTCCGAGTTTCTCCTGAATTTGCCTCAACTCCCCACCTTCATTTGCAGAGACAAAGATTCCTCTGGGGTCCTGTCTCCATGACCCAGTTCTCGTATCACTGAGCTGTTTTCCCGGGGCCTCCTTATGGTCATCATTTGCCGGTGGCTCCCTATCAGCATCTTCATCCCTGACTCCCCTCCTGAACGTGAGGCCTGCATTCCAAACGCAGAGCAAACATCTGAGAAAGTAGCTTGGGAGGGCTGCTGGCGGAGGCTCCCCATGGGCCGGGACTTGGACTTACTCAGGTCTGCATCCCAGCCAGAGCAGAAGAGCAGGTGCCTGATGCTTCATGAATATCTTATGGAGGAAGGAAGGAAGGGAGGGAGGGAGGGAGGGAGGGAGGGAGGGAGGGAGGGAGGGAGGGAGGGAGGGAGGATAATGGTAGGGAAATGACTGAAAGCAAGGTAGTCGTATATACTGACTAGGAAAATGTGTGATGATTATAACTAAGTACATTGTGGTTTAAAGCAGGGATTGTATCAAATTTAAAAGTGTATTGTGATTAGGTAGATGAGTTTAAGAAGGCTGTGAAGAAGATTATGTTCCCGGCACTGTCTCATCCTCTTTGAGTGTGAGAGAAGCATGAGACGCAACGGCTCCTATCCCTTGCGAAAGGACAGAGACGCAGGACTCACTCTCTCATTCCCATTCCCAGTGGGGTGTACAGTGTGCCGAGGAAGACAGACTGTGAAACAAACCCCAGAAATACACACGGCGGTAAATGTGTAGACATGAAAAATAGAAGACAGCTGTGCATTGCAGGTGGGGAGTGAAGGTGGGGATGTGTGGTAGGATGGCTGGTGGCTACATTAGACAGGATGGTCAGGGCCATGGACGTGATGCAGACTGACCAGAGGAAACCAGCCAGTAGGAAGCAGGAGAAAGAACATTGAAGAAAAAAGGAAAAGCAAGTCTGAAGGCTTCAAGATGGAAGCTGAATGTGAAGTGTTGAGAGAACAGGAAGACAATGTGGCCAGAATGGAGTGGACGAGGGGGAGGAGGTTATGACATGAAGCTGGTGACATGTCCCTCCGGGCACCAAAACAGGGGGATGAGATCTTGTTCTAGGTGCAATGAGAAGATGGAGGTGGAAGGAAGTGGAAGAAGGTGGGGGCAGTGGGCTAATGATGCGGTCTGATGGCTGTTGGAATTGGAAGGTCCTGGAGGGTCACTGAACAGGTAGGCTGGGGCCAGGTCTTGTGAGTCTGAAATGAGAGTCGCAGAAGGAACCCAAATGCCAGGGTTTGGAGCAGAGAAGATCCTGAGCAGATGCACGTAGCAATGGGGTTTCTGAGGAATTAGAAGCAGGGAGGCTGAGCTGTAGAAAGGGGAGGCTGCAGTAACAGTCTCAGGGAGAGTTAGAGAGGGCCCGGTGCGGGCTGGGGCCCGTGGGTGTGCAAAGGGGGAGGCTGGCGTGCTAGTGCTCAGGAGGCAGAACTGTGTGCCTTGGTGGCAGCATCCTGATTTCACAAGGCTGTATAGCCGATGTATTATTTCTCTTAAGTGTCTGGGTAGCACAGATACTAGTGGCCCCAGCTTCAAAACAGAAAATGAAACGGCGAAAACAAGAGGTCTCTATGCTGAACAGTAAATAAGTAGGAACAGGAGGAAACCCAGGATATCAACACTAAGAATCAAAACATGCATTTAAATTAGACAGCTGGTCACCATTACTTAGGGTGAAATACTAGCATTAACTATAAAGTAACATACCTAACACACTTTGTGAAAGTCCATTGCATAATGGCTGAGCTATCTCCCCACACATACAAATGATTTGTTTTGTACTTGATGTTATAAAATTCCATTTTGCGGACTTCCGCCAAGATGGAGGCATAGGTCTCCACGCTGTGCTTCCTCACACAACCAAGTTTAGAGACAACTAAATAATAGCAACAGAAAACGCAGCCAGAACACAGAAAATTGAACTTTTCAGAAGTCTGATAACAACAAATTCTTCAGTCTGACCAGTAAGAGGAGCGAAACCAGCAGCTGGCAGAGCAGGGTAGCACAGGAAAACTCCGTCAGACGGACTCTGGCGCCGGAATCCAGGCACAGGGTTGGACCTGGTGGGCAACTCAGCGAGCGACCGCGGAGAAATGGCGAGGGAGCAGGGCTGCGGGTTGACTGTGGTCTCGCATCCGTGCGTGGATAGACAAGCGAGGGAGTGGGCGATTGGACGAGAGCCAGCAGCCCCAGCGGCAAGCAGCTGCTGAGGGCTCCGCCATTTCCCCGCTCTGACCCCGCCTCCACATACAGCGTCATAATCCAGCGACTTAAGTGGCCCTGCCCCGGTGAACCACCTAAGGCGCTGCTCCTCACCCAGCGGCGAGAAACAGCAAAGGGGGCCGCCATTTCCCCGCTCTGACCACACCCCCACATACAGCGTCACAACCCAGCGACCTGGGAGTCCAAGGTGCCACTTCTCATAATTAACGGGCGCAAACAGACCAAAAATGGCTCAAGAAGATCTCAAAGCCCCAGAGCCTATAAATCTAAGCGATGAAGAAATAGCAAAACTCTCAGATGCACAGTTTAAAACACTGGTGATCAGGATCCTCACAGAACTGGTTGATTATAGCCACAAATTAGATATACATATGAAGGCGAAACTAAATGAAATGAATGGAATTACACAGGAAATCAATAGCGATGAAAAGGAAACTGGAGTGGACCAGAAGAAAGCAAATAATGGCCAAACAGAAAAGAGTGAAGAAGCAAGAATTCAAAAAAAAATGAGGAGAGTCTTAGGAACCTCCAGGACATCTTTAAACACTCCAACATCCAAATTATAGGGGTACCAGAAGGGGGAAAGGAACAGCCACCAGTGGAAAACTTATTTGAACAAATAATAAAGGAGAATTTCCCCAATCTGGCAAAGGAAATAGACTTCCAGGAAATCCAGGAAGCTCAGAGAGTCCCAAAGAAGTTGGACCCAAGAAGGAACACACCAAGGCACATCATCATTACATTAGCCAAGATTAAAATGAAGGAAAGAATCCTAGAAGCAGAAAGAGATAAGGGGACAGTCACCTACAAAGGAGTCCCCATCAGACTGTCAGCGGATTTCTCAAAAGAGACCTTACAGGCAAGAAGGGGCTGGAAAGAGGTATTCCAAGTCATGAAATTCAAAGACCTACAACCAAGATTGCTCTATCCAGCAAAACTTTCATTTAGAATGGAAGGACAGATAAAGTGCTTCTCAGATAAGATCAAATTCAAGGAGTTCATCATCACCAAGCCCTTATTATATGAAATGTTAAAGGGACTTATCTAAGAAAAAGAAGTTAAAAAAAAACATGAACAGTGAAAGGACAGCAAACTCACAGTTATGAACAACCACACCTAAAACGAAAGCAAACTAAAAGGACAGCTAGATCAGGAGTGGAAACATAGAAATGAAGATCTCAAGGAGGGTTAGCAACAGGGGAGTGGGAGGAGGAGAAGGGGGGAGAAGGTACAGAAAATAAGTAGCATAGACAGTAGATAGAAAATAGATGGGGGGCAAGAATAGTATGGGCAATATAGAATCTAAAGAACTTGAGACACATAGTCATAAACTAAAGGGGGGTAATGGTGGGGATGGGGGGAAGGGGATGGATACCTCAGGGGGGGTAGGGTGGAGGGGAATGAAGGGGGGGGAATAGAACAACTGTAACAGCATAATCAATAAAAAAGTAAATTAAAAAAATAAAAATAAATACAATTCCATTTTGCTTTTCAGTCAGAGAAGTTAGACATGTAGAAGACAATGGGGCGAGTGTCATGGATAAACTGTCCCGTGCCCACCCTCTAGGGTGAGGTCCCAGGTCATTTCTCAGCGCCACCTTTCACATAGTAAGTCATTCTGATCTCCGAGGGTGTGACTATGAAGCTTCCACTTACAGAACTCTGATGCTGGACGCTCTGAGAGCCAGCAGGCAGCCCAGGATAGCGTGTACCATTTAGTTGCCCTTTGGGAAAAACAAGTAACGGAAAGAAGAGTAAGATCTAGAAGCCACAGACGTACGATGGTGGAAGATATGAATGGAAGAGCATCCAGACCTGCTCCTCAGCCCCCTAGAACCTTGACTAACTTTGGCATTGTTTTACTGTGAGTTTCCAATCAAGAGCTGCCCCACTGAGCTCACCTGACTGTGCAGACACTGCAATGATAACCCTTGACCTCCTTCCTCAGGTCAAGGAGGTCAATGGAAACCACTCTGAACTTGAAGCCAAATTACACACAGGGTTTGAGCTTCCTGAAAGGTAAATGTGTTCAAGGGCAAAGGAAGAGGTCTTATCTTTGGAATATTTAAGCCAATTCCAGGACGGGGGTGCTTAGCACTTCATTGCAGTTCCAGTTTCTGTTGAGGAAGCCACAAGGAGCTTCTGAGTATAAAACATAGAGGGTGGTAGGGTGGGGCCCTAACCCTGGGTCCTTTGTGGAGATTGGGGACCCCCGACAATTTTCCATGAAGCTTGGTGTTTATGTGGATATTTTCATTTTTAATCTGGAGAGAGTATTTCTTTTATCAGAATCTCAAGGAACTCTACCATGGCTGATGTAGTTCAGTGGATTGAGAGCAGGCTTTCGAATCAAAGGGTTGCTGGTTCGATTCCCAGTCAGAGCACATGCCTGGGTTGCAGGCCAGGTTCCCAGTAGGGGGCGTGCAAGAGGCAGCCACACATTGCTGTTTCTCCCCTCTCTTTCTCCTTCCCTTCTCCTCTCTCTAAAAATAAATAAATAGAATCTTAAAAACAAAAAGAATCTCAAAGAACTCCAAGATTTAATATTTTAACACCCCTGAGGTAAAGGAAAATCCCAAAGAGAAAAGAAGGAAGAGAAGAATGACTGTTCATTCACTTAAGCTGACCAGGTCACGAGAAGTATGGTTCACAGAAGATAAGACAAAAGTAATCCTAGGATTTTGTTAACGAGTTCATGAATGCCTTTTTCCTCGGATCTTCCCTGGACCCCACACCTCACTAAACCCGAAAACTTTCTCCTTTTCATAACAATGATAGCCAACATCTACCAATCAGTATTGGAGTTCCAGCCTCAGAGCCCAGCGCTCTTGGAGCAATCTCATCTCACACCCGCAACGGCACTGTGAAGAAGAAGGCCATTTCATAATTTTACAGATGAGGAGACTGAGTCACAGACAGGACGGAGACTTAGGGCAGAAATGGAAACCACGTGGGTACTCTACACCAGTCCCAGCCGACGCCTGGGGCTCAGGAAAGAAATAAGAGGGCTGGGGAGAAGAGCCCATCCACTGTAGGCTTGTCCCAGGCTCTTGCTCAGACTGGCATTCGACCCAGAGAGAAGAGCGTCCCTGGAGAAGGGGGTCAGGGTGTCCAGATCTGCTCCAGGAGAGTACCTGCGAGCCCTGGTGGCAGCCAGAGGACAGAAATCCAGAAAAACAGACAGCGCTAAGTCGGACAGCACCAGCATAGGTGAATTGGACAGCATCACGGCTTCATCATAACATGCAAACAACCTCAGCTGGCAAGGTCAGAACAACAGCAGAAACGCTTGCTGACTCTACAGGGCTAGTCCTCGAAAAGCATGTAACTACTGCTCTTCCTCATTTTCTGCACCTGTTCCTACCCCATGCAGCCCCAAACCACTTCCCAGAGGAGAGAGACTCAAACTTACCATGTTTTCTGCGACGCACCCGTGGTCCTGCTGCTGGTCCAGCCTGGACTTCTTATACTGTCTCAGTCCTGCTGCCTGCACACAGGGTCAGGCGGTTTAGAGGACCAATTTCCTGTCCACTTGCCAGAAATTCATTCACCACAGCCCTTCCCATGAAGCAAGAGCGCTGATAAGACCAGAGCAATGCTGGCAGCGGGGAAGAGCTGTCGGCAAGGGGTGGGGGGCTGCTTCCACCAGAGCTGCACTAGAGAAAGGGCCGGTGTGACTCACGCCTGGAGGTACCCACACCCCAGGGGTCAGGTTCCTTTTGATTATGCTATGAGCCCCGACAGAAGGTCACATATTTGGGAAACATGCTTTGTCTTTATCATAATGTCCTCGTGTCTATTTCCTGGTTACTGTGAAGTCCCAGGGCATGTTTTCTGTTCCAGCGGTCTTCTGAGGGGAGGGACCAAAAACACTAACACAAATAATTTGGTAGGAAAGGAAAAAACCACTGAGGGTTTTCTGGCAACGGGGGCCCGGGAAAATGTCAGAAACCATTTTTAAAATGAAATATGAAACAGACATACGTCATTGTTAGGAAGGAACTTCTGCTCCTTATATTATAGATGTCAGAATGGAAGCCTTAGTGCCCGGGAGTAAAAACGGGGCAGCACAGTGTGAAGATTCGGGCTCTGTGACCCCGGTGCCCTTGACCCGTCCTGGCTTGAGCGAGGCTCTCCGGTACACAGACGACTGCAACTCCCTGCGCCTTCGACTATTCAGTCGTGAAAGAGAACGAAAATAACAGAACTTCCCTCATGAGGCTGTTGTTGTGTGATTAAACGAGCTAGCCCACGGAGAGTACTTAAAAATGATGCCTGCTACGCAAGTGGTGAAAAAAATCAAGGCGAGCTGACGTTATTAATGTTCCGTTTTGCTATAAGACACCAAAAGCAAGAATGAAGGTTTCGTGTGGGGTCAGAACGCATGACCGCGGCTTGTCCTCTCCAGTGGCTGGCCACGCAGACGTGGGTGTTATTCTCCGCTCACTCTGTGGGGGTCACAGCTTCTGAGTGGGCACCTCGAGGGTGGATTGAAGATGGGGTGGAATGCAAGACCTGGGTTGCACTTAGGATTGGGTCCGGGAAGAAGGGAATAATTACATAGTAGAAACACAGAGCCTGGTGAAGGCGGTGGTGGTGAAGGAAAGAGAGAAGGGGGACAAGGGATGCCGAGAGAGAAGAGAGAGTGGGGGGACTTGGAGGCAGCGTGACGCAGGGTCAGAGCCTGGCCCTGCCAGCCACCCACCCACCGGGTGACCTGGGCGAGTTACTACCCTCCGGTGACTCAGTTCCCTGAGCTATCTTAACAAACGTGGATGACTGTCACCAACAGTCATGGAACACTAGTGTTAGGACGATGACGTGGATTTATAAGGAATGTGCTCAGAACAATACTTGGCACTCCGAGTGCAGCGGTGAGTGTGAGCCGCTCTTTGTGCAGGAGTCGCCTCCGCTTCCTCTGCTCTAATTCTGGACTCTAGCGCCTCTTTTCCACGGTGATTCTTCCCTCGTTTCTCAGACAGGTGTGGGGGAAGGTGCCAGGTAGACTGCAGCTTCTCACTGATGATGTGTTCTAAGTTGGATAATGGTAAATGTCAGGGGTTTTAAGCAAAGTAGGAAAGGATTCCCAGGAATAGGAAAGGAGCGCGGGGTGGGAATTCGGTTTGACTTTGTTTAGAAGCCATTCAGGCCGAACACCATTTCGACAGAGCCCGGCCTTCTGTCGGGGCTCATTTGCTCATACGGACACGGTCTACGGAGAGAATTCAGGCTGCTTCCGATCATGTGGCCATTAAACCTACAATACGATTCCAACTTAAGGAGCAGTGATATCTGTTGCGCGTACATTTCCCCCTCTCTTCACACTGCACTATCAACCCCCAGAGGGCACAGCCCTTCCCTGTGAGCCTTGCTTTTCCCGCAGCGCCTAGCAGAGAACAGACACTCATCAAGTGCTTGCGTATTCTTTGACCAGCCGGATGGCCCGGGGAAGGCACAATGGCGGTGCTCCCTCTGCCCTCCTCTCTGCATCCCGTGTATTGCAGGACAGTGGCGTACTCCCAGACACAAGAAATACTGAAGTCCCTTCACAGCTCCGGGCAGGGTGTGACCCCTAAGGATTCAGGAATGAGCAAAACCATCGTGGGGCTCACGGTTGTTTGCTTTGGGGGGCGGGGGAAGTGGAGGGACATCGAGATATTAAATGAAAATCACATCAATAAATGCAGGAAGAAAAAAATGTGGCCAAAGAAAGGGCATGATGGGAATTTGACTTAAGAAGGTTCTCCTAGCTGTGACTTCAGAACAGAGGTCTTAATTAGAATAAGCTTTTCCACCCTGGGTGGGGGAGGAAGCAGCCTGGGGGGGCCTCCTGACAGCCACAGTGGCTGGAGAGGTAGGGCCACCCAGATGGTACTGGGGTGTCCTCGTGGGCACCCTCCGTCATCAGGTCAAACAGAGGACTGGTAATTCCTCAGGGAGGTCCCTCCTCTCAGAGGAGGCAGGGAACATTCTACCCAAGAAGTTTTAGGGTGACCAGTTAGAACTTGAAATAAGATAAACAGCTCCCCCCTTTATTGTTGATATAATGCATGTTTGTTTTTAGAAAATTTTAGAAAAATACAGAGAAACTGGAAACAATCACCCATAATGTTGTCAGCAATGGAATTGGGATTGAATTGTACGAGCAGTCCAGTGCTTTTTTCATTTGATAATATGTCATAAACCTTTCTGCTGTTTTAAACTATATTTATGTTTAAGTTGCCACTGAAATAATCCCTGACATCCAAGTAGATGTAAATATAGGCATAGATGCAACATGAAGATGAGGAATGAATGATGAATTCGACCTTCCCACAGCTTACATGGGCTCGTCATAACTTCCCAGGCAGAGGGAGCCCTTTAGGCCCGTTGGCCCGAAGTGTCTGTCCCTCCCCAGATGGCTGAGCCCGTCACCGACAAAGACGTCAGCTCTCCCCCACGCAGCTTTTGGAAGACTGCTGATACAGGTTTCGTGAACTTCTAACTCTCCACGCTGAAACTCTATTTAAATTGGTCTGTGGCATTCTGATCAAGTGTTTCTCCTCTCTATCTTTGCTCTCCACTCTTTGAAAGGGAAGGAAAGGCCAGAGACTTAGTCATCTTGGCAAAGGTCTCGAACACAAACTTTCACCGCTGCCTGCCCACGGAACCTTAAATAGGAACTGGAGTCTCGGAACACACTCCATACTGGGAGGATTGCCCCCCACCTCACCCCGCCCTGGGGTGCATTCCCTCATCCTACACATTTTTGTGAGGACTGCTCTGTGCCGTCATCTAAGCAACACTCGGGAGACGCAGAGATGAATAAGCTACGGCCCCTGTCCTGCAGGAGCTCAAAGACCAGTGTGGAGGTGGGCACAGGAAGATAATGAGCAGTGTGGAGGAGGCTGCAGGCACACAGGTCCCTGTGGGAAGCTGGCGGGGGGCAACTCACTCAGGGGGGCAGGGACAGCGGGCAGGTGGCCGGAGAGGGTGCTCCGAGGACCTGGGCCTTCAGCTGAGGGGAACAAACCAGACTCTTCGTGCAAGCTCATCGGTTGGACTGGAGACGCAGCACATATTCAACACTCAACCCATGAATTAGGAAGTGGTTTTTCTCATTAAAAGTATTTTTACTATTTCAAAGGCGTATTGTGACTGGGGCCTGCAGGTTCCCAGCAAGCTGCGATAACCACAGAAGGGTTATCACCCATACCAGAACACCAGAAACACTGGTGAATGGGTGACCTGCTCACAAATGAGAACCGTGAATAGACTATTTAAAAGCCTCAGAGGAAGTGAAGCAGAGATACTATGTTTATGAGCTGGCTGTACTGAGCACTCATTCCTGGGCCAGCCCCTGTGCTAAGCATTTCAGAAGCTGTGTCTCACTGAATCCTCCCAAAACTTTAGGAGGCAGATTCCATTGGCCCTGCTGACCCATCTCCTCACAGACCATTATGCCCTGCATTTGACTGAAGAGGGAATTGAGGCTTGGAGGGTTACATGCCTTGCTCGAGATAACAGAGCTGATGGATGGAGAACTCAAATTCAAGTGCAGTTGAAATGAGACTCCACTAGAAGCTGGGTTTTTATCCTTCAATTCATTACAAAGTGCCTTCTGGAAAGGGAAGAAGATGGGCTTCTGATACCCTTCTCTTAGTTTTCTGGTGGGTCTATTCTATGCTCCAAAGCTCTAGTCATTGAAGATGAATTTGGAGACATGCAATATCAAACTCCCTCTCATGTTCACGTCAGACACGAGTATCTCTTCTCAGGGTAAATTCCTCTGTGTCTGAGCAGACTCGGCAGAGGGGTTGCAGGGGGAGATGTATCCTTTCTACACTTCTCAGTGCATTCACACCCACCCATTCACGCCCACACATTGCACATGCATTTTTACAAAAAAAAGAGTATTATTTTTAATTATAATAAACTTCTTATGGGTCAGGTGAATATAGAAATGTTTCCTTTTAAAGAAAAAATTTGCCCCTATGATGGGTTCCTAAAATCAGACTAAAAACTGTGGGACCTCCTTTGAGCCCGCCCCTTGCTTTGCACCAGCAGGAAGGTTCCGAACCCTGTTAGGGGGCTGGTCTGGGCCAAGTTTAAGTTCAGGGTTGTGGCCCTGGGAGCCGCATAAGGGAGGCCCATGGAGGAAAGAGTCAGAGGGGAAGGTTGGAGGATCCGAGGGTTAAAACCCTGAGGCCACAAGTAATGTCAGAGCCAAAAGGAAGGAGAGGGAGGGCTTTGTGACTTTCCTGGCACCTTCTCCTGGTAGGTAATTTCAAACTACGTTTAAAAAATGAACATACACGCTTAAAAATTCCTTCCTTTTCTTGTAAATATTTTGGTCACCAAAATGGGTAATTTATGAAAATGCACATGAACTCCAGCAGTGACGTTAAACAATAGATTATAATAAAATAAATCGTCGGAAAAAATGGCAGCGGTACAAAAATCACTTAGCTGGAAGTAATCAAACCAAACCTTTAAAGAAAAAAATCCCTGAATAATTCTGTGATCCTGGCTCCTGATAAA